GGGAATCATTTTTCTTATCCTCCTGCCATTCATGAGTTGGATTGCATGGCTGCTCTCTCAAGTTCATTTCCTATCCTGTTAGGTGACTGATTAGTCGTTTTCTCGGAGGTTTTCATCCTACCATGCTGCACATATGGTGATTTGTGTGGATTTGCTTTGGTACCTCCTGCAGAGTTCAGACCTCTTTTCAGTGATGGGATCGGCCTTTTTCAAGTTTGGGTCCATCTGCTTTTTGGTTATAGTTTGAGGTCTTGGGCTCATCCTGGCTGGCTGACAAATACTTTCCTTTCCTTTCCTTGTGGTCTTAGCAGTCTGTCATTCCTGTGTGCTTGAGTGGTGGGAGTTGAGCTTTGTCTCTCAAGTGTTTCTGAGTGGGAGAGTGGGACTCAATTTGTCCTGGTTCATTCCTGTCTGTTTCCACCAGCACCTCCCAAGGATGTGGGCAAGTAGCAGCCCCATATGCAGCTGCCTACACTTTCTAAGGCTCTTATTTTAGATGACCACAGGGCATGTTTGCATCTGGTTGCAGTCTTGCATCTCTAAGTCCTCGTGAAGGGGCTTTGTGAGTCTCTCTTGTGAAGAAGTGGAGTCGCTGGGGTCTGCTCTGGGTGTGGAGGCCTTGCAGCATGCAGTTCTGGCTCTGGTGGCCTTGCCCAAAATGGCAGCCCTCTCCTTCAGGTGGTGGTGACGGCATTTTATTCCACCCACCTCGTGTTGGCAGTGTGTGCTTGTCCATTGTTTACATTTAGTGTGGTCACTTATCCTTGTGGCTGCTTCATTGTTTTTTGCCTCTCTTTCCTGAGGCCGTCAGAGTCAGAGGCCTGGTCGACGACTGGGCCGCGGGGACGCTAAGCCCCAAAAACATCTCAATGTGGTAGCTCAGGTTGTTTCAGCGGTGGCTTTTCCTTCCATTGGCTTGAACCTGGCCACCCCTGCGTATTTGTCAGGCTAGCACAGGTCATTGTGGCCCACCTGCATTTGTTAGCGGTTGGTGTGGGCCCCTAACAAGCCTGTGTGTTAGATCGCTATAGATCTAGTTCTTTCCCAGCTCACTGTGTTCGGGTTCCTGGTGAACTGCCAGAAGTCCTAGTTGGTGCCGTCTCAGCTTTGGACTTGGTTGGTGTCTCTTTCCCATGCCTCTGTTGGCTTTGCTATGCTATGCTTCACCACCTGCTGTTGAATCAACCCTGGGTGACTCATCGATTGGTTGTGCGGGACCCTGAACTTTTCCTGTATTATCTATTCCCAGGGCAGGAGTTGGCTCCAGGGGTTGTAGCGAATTCTCTATGTGCCTTTTGTATGCTTTTGCTTTGCCAACTTACCCTTTTGAGTTTTTCAGGGTATATATCCATGGCACCACCCTCCCCCCTCGCTCAATGTGTTTATAGATGCCCTGTCTCTGGGATGGGGCTTCGTGGCCTGCACTCACCAGGCTGCCCTGGGTCAGTAGTCGGGTCTGTTCCTTTGGGCTCATAGCATGGTGTGCAAGTTTGCATCTGTGTGGCACACATTGAATAGGATTCGGCTTCTTCTGGGCTTGGCAGGCATGGCAGGATGTGCAGAATACCCCCGTTGAAGAACACAGTTGCAACAGGTACTCTGAGAGAGAACTGCATCAACATCAGAGCCCCAAGACTGTCCAACACGCTTCCACTACACATAAGGGGCATAACTGGCCGACCCCTCACAGTGTTCAGGAGAGAACTATCAACATCAGAGGTCCGAGATTATTCAACACGCTTCCACTACACATAAGGGGCATAACTGGCCGACCCCTCATGGTGTTCAAGAGAGAACTTGATAAACACCTCCAAAGGATACCTGATCAACCAGGCTGCGTGTTAGATGGGCCTCCTCGTCCAGGAACGAGGAGGCCTGGTCCGGACATTGAGCCTCAAAATCATTGCAAGGTAACCAGCCCCAGTGGTTCCATCTCCTTCCTGCCCTCCAGGTTCATCGGTTCATTGAGGGTTTGTTCATCATATCCAGAACTGACTTGGAGAGCCAGTAGTAGGCTGCCTGGTGGTGGTAATCGGTGCTGATGGGGTTTGAGCTCATTTGTGTGAATCCATCGGTCCATGTGACTCATTTGTGGTAGTTGTTTAGTAGGTTTTTTTGAGGGGGGGGGGGGGGAGCGTGGCCTATTGTCACCTGCTCTCTGTACGCCTCTGATGGAAAAGCCAGGTTTCAGCTCTGGTCCATGGTAGGCCAAACAACAGAGCCGATGTGATCACTTAATATGAAGCAATCTCAGGAAGGTAGCTTCAGGAAGCCACTGGGGCCTGACGGCTGAATGGACAGTGCTCGGGATTCATAGTCCTAAGTTTCTGGGTTTGACCCCTGGTGGAGGCGGAAACAAATGGGCAGAGTTTATTTCACCCTGATGCCCCTGTTCACCAAGCAGTAAATAGGTACCTGGGAGTTAGACAGCTGCTATGGGCTGTTTCCTGGGGAAGTGTAACAAAAAAAAGGAGGTCTGGTCGAGGACCGGGCTGCGGGGACACTATCCCCCGAAATCATCTCAAGATAACATAACCTCTAGAAATTGGCATTTCATTACATTCAATCCTGGGTTTATACAAATAATGTAAATGTGGTTATAATACATGTAGATGAATGTAATGGAGTTACTAATACCCATGAACAATTCTGCAAGGCATCTGGAAGTGCTTAGTATACGATGAGATTATGATGTACAAGTGGCCTGAGGTTATCATAGGATCACAATTTAGTGCGATACACCAGCATTTCTGGTTAGAATAAATCTATATGGATGTGATGGACTTAACCTACGCACACAAAACATAATGTTATTGTTTTGTATTTGCTTACTATGTGATGAGATTATAGTGTATTAGTGGCCTGCTGTTATCATCAGTCACATTTGGTCTTTCCTGCCAGTTTTTGAATCTATTCCTGGATGACAGAATAGCTGTAAAAAAAAAAAAAAAAAAGGTTGAATGTATGAAAACACCAATTTCTGGGTGAGCCCCGGTGGCTTCCTGAAGCTGTGCACTGAGATGGTACCGTCTAATAGATCACATGAGCTGTAGAGTTCTATAAACCTACCTGGACCAGAGCTGGAACCCTGTTCTCTCAGATACGCAGCGAGTCAAAACAAACTACTGCTGGATTCAAGAGAGTCTGAAGCCTCAAAACCCACCTAAAGAACTCCCCAACTATGTACAGAAATGACTGAATTCGCTCTGAAGTACTGTGAGCTCGTTCACCCCACGTTCCTCACTCGTTGTTTGGGTGGTTGCAAGCTGGCTAGACAATAACACTGCGAATGACCTGAGAAATACGAGCCATGGAAACGGTAAAAACCCACAAGGCATCCAGTGAAACACAATTATTGGCACAAAGTCCAATAAGTCCAACAACAAAGTCGGAATTTGCCCGAAACGCTGCGCGTACTCGTGGCTTTACAAGATTGTAAATACTATGCTATGTATTCTCTCATAACACAATGTATCTTCTTGTATATAAATAAATAAATAAATAAAAAGTTAGTGAAGGAGACCCCTGGAAGCCAACCAACTCATTCCTCCAGAAAAGGAGCCAACTGCAATGCACATAGCACCCACTAGGGCCAAAAAAAGAGCAAAAACCCCCTGCCTCCAGAGGAGAGCATGATGCTTCCCAGCCTGACAACCACAGGCAAGAGAAATAAAAAAATGTCTGGGTGAAAGTATCATGGACTGAAGGGGACACTGTAAATTTAGAGGAAGAAGGAAAAGCAAAATCAAATGTCACCACTTTCTGCACCTTTGTGAGGGGGGGGGGGCAGGTTCTAATTTAATTTTAATTATCAGGGGAAAGCGCCAATCCATTACGACTATATAGCACTAGGAAGGGATCAGGAAAAGGCTTTGGGATGGGACGGGGGCAAAGGAATGGTGCTCAACCACTTAGACGGTTGGGGATTGAACGACGACCTGCATGAAGCGAGACTGTCGCTCTACCGTCCACCCCAAGTGGCCAAGTTCTAGCTCAGCTTCCCAGTAGACTTATAAAACTCCATGGCATCACGCGGATGCATAATACATGTACCTAATCTCAGTGTATCACTTCAGGGAGCCACGAGGGGCTTCTGTCAGAAAAGTAGGTTACAGACACTTGCTTTGAACTGTGCTAGGAACAAGTTTACATACATTATTGGTGTATATGTTATATTATAGACCTATATACAGTACTTAATCACTGTTTTAGTCACTGGTGTATACATAAATTAAGTTATTCAACCGTGTGTGTGTGTGTAAACTAAAGTAACACAACGAACATAAAAACCATCAACTTGAACGTGATAAAATACTTAATTTTTTAAAGTTTTTCATTCCTTACCTTTGGCATGCAAATATATCATTCTACAAATCCTTGAGGTAGTAATTTTGATAATAGCCGCTCTTTGAGGGTTAATGATTCGCAGGTTCATTGCAAGTTAATGAAGCCGGTTTTTGCTATAATTCATCAGACTATGACAGGAAGTAGAATAATGAAGAGACACAATGATCAAAGGAAACCATGGTTTATTGGAGACATGTTTTTGAAAGTAGTAATGAAATTTTAGACTTTCTAGTAGATTACCAAGTGAACAGCTTAGTATGCAACTACAAAGCTGGAGGTAAAACACACATTATATCCTTGTTTGTTGTTCTGTTTGCAAAGTGTTCCCCCCATGCAGGGGGGTATACTGTTAGCAGTACTTACGTCTGCAACAGACATGCACTGAGATCCTGAGACCATATTGCAGTGCCTCTCCACCTTGGTAGCCCAATTCACAGTACAAGTGCATTTTTTGTGAATAATCTCCATAAATGAACTGGCATCCATTGTAGGAGGAAACTATTTTTAAGGTAGCATTCTAAAGAACAGCATAAATTAGTGTCGGTACTTCTTCTTATATTGAAAGAATCGCTGTTAAACACATGCATTATCTAAATAATTTTTATAAATAAGAAATATTAATCACTATTTAAAAATTTTGTCTTTCTTCTCAGTGGGTGTGTCAGGTCGTGCAAGATCGGATCCATCTCACCACCACACTCACACTGGGCACTCTCATGGAGCTATGGACTGTGAGGTGTTCAGTCATCATGCAGCTCACCCTCCACATCCAGCTCACCATCCCCGTCATGTGCACCCTCACCACGCCCACCGTTGTCGACCGCCAGATCCTGGTGGACGACCCCAGCCCCAAGCCACATCATCCAGCGCAGCAGCTGCTGGAGGATCCTTGCCACCGACAGCAGTATATGCTGCTCATCCATACCTACCTATGGCCCTGGACTGTACCCAGACTGGCTCTGTTAACTTGCCCTTGGCACCCAGCAGTGGTAGTAGTGCATCAGGTCCTCCTTCAGCTCCATACCACTATCCTGGACTGCCCACTTTCCCGCCAGGTACTTCGAGTAGCAGTGGGAGTAGTGGAGGGCAGCCGGGTGTTGTTGGGTATGGCTACCCGGGTGGTTCACTGGTACCAGTGGTTTCTGGGGGCCCTGGTGTTATGTATGAAGGGGCGCGACCACCGGGGGGACATCTCGAGCAGCCACAACCTCTGCCTATGTCACAACCAGGAGCAGCGGCGGCAGCAGCAGCGGCAGCAGGAGCAGTGCGGGTGGGACACAGACAGAGCAGCAGTGGTGGTACAGGAGGTGGTGGTGGGGGCCCAGGTGGGGCAGGTGCAGGGGGTGAGGACAGCCCTATGGTGGTGCAGCACAGCCCCCTAACCAGTCATTAACGGCTGGGCTCACCTAGCAACCTGCTCAACAGTGTACTGTGAACAGTGGGCAGCCAGGCCCTGAACAGTGAGACTGACGAGAGCCTGGCCAGAGACAGCGCTAGGCCAGTGGCCACACTGTGGTGCAGGACCGTGTGTGCCTGTGTGATGTGAGCCTGTGACACCCAGAGTGGAGGCTGGCGGGACCCCACCCACTTTCCAACGCAGCTGCCTGGCCCCCCCCCCCTTTCTCTGCTGGCACTGCTTTTATCTTGTTATTTATTACCCGCTGGTGAGGAGGGACCGGCCGTAGGCTGCCCTGCATGCTGGCTGCTGGGCTGCCTGAGGGCCGGGCTGGCTGCGTTGGCTAATCCAGTCTCAGGAACTCCCTCCCCCACCGCCACCACCACATCTATAATACCATCAACCCCCCCCCCCCCCTCACTTCCCTCCCATACTGACACTCCTCACACACCACAACTACGACATCCACCATAACATCCATCACCACAATGCCTATCATGGATGCAACCTTTGCAGCAGACACCTTCTTCATACCCATTTAAAGTAACATCTAGTAAGCATAAATCTTGATACTCTGTGGATGACTTGGTTGCTGGCAGATTATTACTTCCCTAACCTTGCTGGTACATGTTTTATGCAACATTTATCCACCTCACACCTGGTTGATGTGTTATGAAAATCAACCCTGTTATCCTCCTACACCTTTTCTTGTATCACAAAATACACCCTCCCTTCCCCCCTCTGAAGCCCTCAGACAACCAGCATAGCTCCCTCACCCTTAACACTCTCTGGTGCTTGATATAAGTACTAGAAACCTGCCTACACCCAGCTGGTGCATCACCCACACAACAGACAACTCCCCCACACCCAGCTTGTGGCCAGCTGGACAATGCTCACTCAGATAGCAGCTTTTAGCAAATGTATAGTATATTCCATTCTGTACTTCAGAACCATAACTATCAAAATATTGTCATGAAGCAGTTTGCATCTTTTTAACTCCTGCTAAATCCATTGAATTTTCTGTCTGACCTAATTCCCTATCAACATCATGCCAAAGACCTCACAATACCTTCATTCCTATAGTGTTTCCTCACCAGTTGTCTAACAGTTTATGTAATTTGGGGGACCCACCATTGGCATATCATTTGTGGTGAATCTTTTATGCCCTTCTTTATTTCTTTATTTTATGAGAGTATTTGCTCACTTTTTTAACTTTGCTTTTTATATACTTTTTTTTTTTTTAAGGATAATGGGGGTATTTCTTTTATATACAGTTGATTCCATGGGTATTGGTTTTTGTCAATGAACCGAGTCTAAGTGGTTGCTAAGCATCTTAAAAATTTAAGTTTTGTAATATTCAAAGTTCCTGACTCTGTAGACTTATATTTTGGCCTGACAATGGTAGTAAATATGTTATAGCACGTCCCGATTTTTAATTCCGGTACATAATTATGTATTTTGATCAACCTTGAGAGCAGGGGCAAGAAAGTCACCAGTATTCACTCAACATTTCCAATAACTCCGGAATATAACTTTGACTTAATTTGGCATTTGGTGTTGAAAAAAGTATTAAATGTGTCAACTTATTACAATTATGAAATATATAAAACAGTGAATGTGTATATTATGTTTATATATATATATATATATATATATATATATATATATATATATATATATATATATATATATATATATATATATATATATATATATATATATATATATATATATATATAAACATAATATACTCGCGTAATCAATACGATAAAATCAAATAACCAACTTGCTTTTTCAGTAACATACCATCACTGGTTAAATGTGAGAGTTGAGCGCAGAAAGTGTAGCTATTTCCCAGTAAGAATTGAGGTGTCCTTTAATATTGTAAAGCTTGACAGCTTTATCCTCTTGTGACTTGTATCATGTTCATACAGCTTTTTTAGAATTGAGTATACAGTATATTTATTTTTGTAGGAAAGGTTAACAGTTTATTGTCAGTATTCAGTCAGTGAAAACCTGTGTTTGTAATGTATTTAAAAGTAATATTTATTTATTTTATACATTAGTCATCTTGCTAAATGAAGTCAAGTAAAAATCCAGTGTACAGTACAATTGGGAATCTTTTTTTTTTCTTTTTTGTTATATCGGTATATAAAGGTGCGAGACCATACCAATGGAAGAATCAGGGTATACCCCATGTTTACTTTTGAGTTCTATGTACTGTGTTCAGATTGTTCTTTGTTGTTTCCTCTTTCTCTTAAGTGCTGACCTTTTTTTTTTTTCCATCTTATAGTGTTTGTCATAGAGGGCATTTATTCTCTGGTTTATTGTGAATTAGATTTGTATGGTATATTATTGTGAATTTCTAGAGGATGCCCCAATTAGGTGTGTTTACTCAGGAGTTGAGAAAGCCTTATGGATGTGCATTGTAAGGCTTGAATGAGTGAAATGTGAAGCATTGTTAACAGAAGAATATGACAGTTGAATAAGGCCCTTGTTCTTTTTATTTTTATTGTGTACATTTGCTCACAGTGGCATACCCTTTTTGTGAACGCAGAGCTCACTCACAGTCAGTGTGCGCGGTCCATGATGTGTACATAGTCTAGTGGCTGTTGGGAGACAGGGTGGTAGGTCAATGCCAGGCAGAAGGCAAGGTTAAAAGTTTTTTGGATTTTCAAATCAAATTGCTTCCCACATTTCTGGTGGGATAATTTACCCCCTTTTGAAAATCCACAAAACTGGTGAACTGCCTCAGACCAGTTTTGTAAAGCAAGCAAAGATGTTATTAGTTGAGAGTTGTTGTATCCAACCCACAACGGAACAAAGATGGAGAGACTGTCCTCCTACCATATGACCTCAGTGCTCAGCGGCTTGGGGCTGCCTTTGAGGATGGGGGCGTCAAGAGTGACCTGGTCCCGCCCTCGTATGTGCTGTGTTGTGCCACTATGGTGATTTCTTGTAGCCATTACCATGTAGAGGACTCACAAAACCAGACTATGGCATAGATTTTGCTCATCTTGCAAGGAATATAGCAGACTCAAATAATTTCTTAAATGAACTTTTTATTGCTTTTTAATTGGCCTGCAGTAGTAGCACTGTTAAATTTTTAAATTATTTTTCAGCTTTTAGGTGGTTGTATGAAATTAATCAGTGTAATGTTAAAATTTATAAAGTACTTATTGAGAAGTACTGTAGATTTGTTTGTTACATGCTTCATAAAATCAACATCTGTGATCATCTTAGAGGAGGTCAGATACTTGCAGAATTTCTCTTTATTCTATGAAGGAAGATTAGAAATGCCCCCCTTTTTTAAGGTTCATACCATATACTATTTAACAAAACTGTAACTAAATAAAGATTCAAATTTTGTAATAAGTTTTCCAGTATTATCGATTTCCACCTCATAGAGCAAAGAGAAATTAGTGTTTGTCCGCTCCCCCTTGTGGTTTGTTTGCTAGCAGCACGCTGCACACCACAGCTCATTTATAAACACTAGCTCTTTGCTCGCCATCATCTGGCTGTTTGAATTCTCACAATATTTAATTTTTTTTTTGATTGTGTCAGAAATTGAGTAACTTGTTTTGGATCTTCACGTTTTAAAGTATCCCTTGCATTTTTAAATTTGTACAAGAATGCAGTGGCAGGTTAAAGAGAGTTGACATGTAATGTCAATCCAATATTCTAGCCTCGTGAGATCCAGTGGTGTGTTGTTTGCTACTGGTGTCCCATAGGCCATTGGTTGATGTATACCATAGATGTCTGCATGCCTCGGGTTCACAGTAGACCTCTGGCTCGTCATATGCCATTGCTGATGGTGCGCTGTTCCATCTTGAACACAGCACTGGCAGCCCCTTCCTTGAGAACCCCCACTCAATGGCCACTATATAACCACAAAGAAGTCAACAAGGATTATGATATAATACTTATCACTCAAAGGCAATTTTTATTTTGCAAGTCATTAATTTATTAGGTAATATTAAATCAAAAAATTTCAGCCATAACTTTCAAATGAAAGTAGCTACTAATAATTTCTACAGTAGTTCAACAGTATTACATTGATAATGTCTGTCCTCATTATCGTCTTTCATTATTTGTAATACGGTGAAAATATAAAAATGAATTATAAGGTATCATTCAATGACTACCAATATTCCTCAATATCTAGTCAGGGAGGGAGGTTGGGAACGGAGATGTGTGGCCATTGGGTGACATTGGGTTGGTAAGGGGAAGCTCTCATTGGCTCGTAGACCCGTGGTGCTCCATAGAGTGCGAGGTGCCACCGCCCTCAGGAACCTTCTCCTCATCTTGTGTTGTGGTCATCTATTATGGATTCTTACATTTGAAATTAGGACTATTATCCCCGTTGTGAAATAGAAGCGAGTCTTTACCAAATGTAATCCATAATGGTCGATAGTGACACTTGTGCAACAGGCAAGGTATATTAGTCCAGTGCCAAAATCCAAGGAAAACATTTAGTTTTATAAAGGTTCTTGACTTGATAAAGGAATGGCACAAGACAGGGTTTTCCTTGTACTGGAGGCTGGTAGTACCTTAGTGGGTGGCATGAGCCATGAACTGGGCACTTACACATTGTTGGCAAAAAAAAATTGTTGTTGGGGTCTTGAGATCTAGACTATGTTGATTGAATGTTAGGTATACAGAAACAATTTGGGGAGGATTCAGTATTTTAAACAAAATATAAAATATCTTAATTGGTTTAAACATTTCTGTAGTTTAAAATATTTACATGTTTTCAATTGTCCACCAGAGTTTGTTATATAATATCTTTTCACAGGTTATCTTGCTTTGTTTACACACATAGTAACAAGTCAGGTCAACATGCCAAGATCTCTCTACCCCTATTGTATTGTGATGCATTTTTCTCTGCGTGTGATCCTGTTAAAGTGGTCTATGTGATGACGGATAGTGATGAAGAGTGAATCTTTCAAAAACAGGTCAAAATGATTTCATAGATCTTAACAGACTTGTATAAATGAAGCTCCTTGCTGTGCATTTGCTCATAGCTGGGGGGAAATGTTAGTTTATAATCATAAGTTGTAGTCTTCATAATTTATACATACAGAGATGAATCATTGGAGTAGAACATTAGTTGTAGGGTCATAAACAAATTTGCCGAGATAATGAAGCCAGAGCCTTGTGTATCAGCCTCTTGGTCGTAAACAGACAGTTATGTCGTAAACATTAAATGTGATGGTGGTATGCTGTGTGACCTTGCAGTTCAGTGTTATTCATTGGAATATTGGTTATACAAGAATGAAGCAGGAAAATCTGTGATTACCCTTTTCTGCTTTAAATTCCAATCAGAATTATTTTTTTTCCCTCTTGTTTTTTTCACACAATACCAAACTAATCAGTGCCTCTTGTTAGCCCAGAATTTTGTTATGTAGTTATATCCTAAATAAATCCTGCTCTCCTTGTGTTTCAAAGATGTAACAATGTGCATGAGTGTGGAAGAATGAGATTCACGGCTGATATACAAGGCTGGGCTCTCATAGCAAGAGTTCCCTGGCTGCCTGACCAAACCTCTTATCACTTCCTCACAGAATTAGGAGAAAGAATGGTGCTTAAAAGAAACATTAGAAAACAAATCTGGGATTCAGGGAGAAGCATGTTTTGGCAGTCTGATGAGGATAAGTGTGCATGAGGGTTGGGAGGGCAGTTGCTGCTTCCCCATTGGCTTGACCGGACCCCCAGAAGGGTCCATGCTGCTGATTCTTGGACCAACGAGGTCAACTTGCTATTGCAACCGACCAAACCTGTGGTCTGACGCCGCTGTACCCGTTGCTACCCGTCTCCTAGACACAACTAGAACAAAACAAATGTCTGCAACTTTGTTATTAAAAAAATAAAATGATACTAATGACGTTTGGCATTTTGTCTTTCATGAAGTTGTGCACCAGGGAGCTAACAAGTGTCAAAGCCAGGAGTTCAGTAGCTGGATACCGAGTTTCCTGATTTAACTCTAGAATGGAAGTATTTCATATAAAGGATTTCAAGCAGCAATATTGTTGAGACAAAATGAAGATTTTTTTATTTGCGGAATACTTGTAGCAAGCCTGTGGTGATTTTTTTTTTTTTTTTGTTCGTGCGTGCTCCTGTGCACACAGCCCCTGCCTGGAAGAGCCCCTTGTGGCTCCCTGAAGCCATCTCGCCGAGATGGCTCGACTACTATATCACTTCAGCCATATATGAGTTGGCGTTGAGCCATCTCACTGAGATGGCTCAACTACTAGATCACATCAGCCATATTTTTCAGGAACCAGCACCAGAACCTGGCCCCTCCTCACAGAGCAGATGACAGTCACCTCACCAGGAAAGCATCCAGAAGGTCAGCAATCCATTACAGCAACCCGTCCTCACACTAGGCTGTTTAAAGCAGCGGCATCCTCCCCAGACACATTCATCAATTATAACATACTGTGTATTAAAAACTGGTTTGTTCTCATATACAGTATAAATTAATATTTTTATATGTAAAAATACTAGGCGTAAGTTAAGTTTGGTTAGGTGTTTAGGTTTTGTTGGCGATTATTTGTATTTGAAGTGTGTGGGTGAAGCATTTATAGAATTGTTTTTCAAACAGAGGACGTGAGGGAAGCACTTGTTCTGGAAGTGTTCGGACATCATCGGTTGTGAGTCGTGTGTAAACCGTTCTTCACTCATAAACTGTGTTTGACGGCTGGATTAATGAGCTTTGATCTTTGTATGCAAGGACGGGCTGAATACAAACCACACTAAGTTCAAAGACCGAAGCCTTACACTGCCAAATGGACTCATCGGACAATGTAAACAAATGATTAAATTTTTTGAAAGAAGTGTGTGCTCGTTTGCCCCATTTTCCCCACAAGTTCGGGAAGGGAGTGGGGCTCTTGTTGTCCACTAGCTAATGCTTCACTTCTATCGCTGATGTGAAGAGTATACATCTGTTGTAGGGTTCCTGGATCTTTGACAAGCAATAGCAGGTCCCAGTGCTTTTCAGCTAAGTGCCGGCCGTCCTTGCTCTTCATCCTGTGGGGCTGGCTGCTGTGCATTTTTTTTGGTCTTGTATGGACTTTTAGGGCCCTTCGGAATTTTTCGTGCTCAGAACTGTCTTCCATGTGTGCTCCCCAACCCTGCCCCTGCACCGACAGATTTCTCATCTCTGATGTCTTGGGAAGCTCACTTCCTTAGTGGTCCATCCCACGTGATAGGGTCTCTTGCCTTGGGTGAACCAAGGGTTTTGTTGCCCCCGTCTTGCCCTTGGTCGGGATTGAGCATTGGCCAATTGGGACGTACGGGTGGCTTGCACATTTGTACTCGCAGCGTGCCACAGTTGGCCTTCACAGACCCTAGGAATTCCCCATGGGTTCGGTGTGACTTTTGGCTATTCCCACTAAGCTGATTCTTGCTTTGTGAGAGTTTGAGGGTTGTTTGTCCAACCCGTCCTCTTAAAAATAACGTCACTTTTGGCTCGTATGCGCACTATGGCCAAATTTGGACATAATTTGAAATGAAATCGACTCACAAAAGTGATGTACTGCTCCGTTTTCTGTTTGAGTCGTCCAGCTTACATGGTAAGGTTAAAAGAGGAAACTTTCAATTAACGTTTTTCATAATGTTTTGAAACTTTATGAGAATTTCCTGCCCACCTAACCTACCAGAGGACCCTTAACTTACTGTTGTTGAAAAAAATTCCCAAATTTATTTTCATTTTATTTTCAATTTTCAAATTACGTCCATTTTCGGCCATACGGACAAACGGCCAAAAGCGATGTTATTTTTAAGAGGACAGGAGGTTGGTTTGTCATCCGTGCCACTTGGTGACATCTTTCTTTCTGCCTCCATCATGCTGGATCGAACACACCAATGACCCTGAGTTCTGTAGTTTCCTTCTCTCCATGTGACTTTTGTCTCGGGCCCTCCAAACGAAGTTCAGTTTATTAAGCAATATCTGCATTTGGAGTTTGTTTTGCCCGCCTGTAGCAGTCCAGGTGATAAGCTCGTTTGCATGCTCTAGAGCTGGCTTGCCTTGTGTTTAGGGACTGAGATGAACACTGGCTCCATCTGAGCCAGTGTTCATCCTTCCATCCTTCCATCCTTCTCTTTGGGTGAGGTTCATCTTGCTTCTGATCCTTTCCTTTGGTTTCCGGCTCTGAAACATTCAAGGTTACCAAGATAGGGGCAGGGTTTACCTCAGGATGTGGCTTGGCCATCTCTGGGGATGGCTCCTTCCACATTGGGTGCAGAGGCAGTTTAGCGAGCTAGTCCATTGAGGTTTCAGGGTTTTCCTTCCAGCCAACTCCTCCTCCTAAGGCTTCTTCCTTGGGCTCCACTTTTCTACCCTGGACAATGGGCATGGACACAAGCTCTGCCCTGGAGCCTTCATGCTTGGTTTTCTGAACTTGAGGGGGGGTGGGGGGTGGATAAGGGGACCTTGAGTTCCCTTGAACCTCAATCCAAAGTCCCACTTTATCTGTTATTCCTATTGTTCTCACTTTATATGCTATCACTCCATGGTCACATTTATCAAATGCCTTTGCAAAGTCTGTGTATACAACATCTGCATTTTGTTTTTCTTCTAATGCTTCTGTGATTTGTCATAATGGTTGGGTAGTTGCAAAAGACAGGATCTTCCCACTCTAAATCCATATTGACCTGGGTTGTGAGGTTAAAATTTTCCATAAAACTGGAGATTTGATACCTAATCTCTTTCAAAAACTTTTATTGTGTGTGATGGTAGTGCAACTGGTCTATAGTTTTTTGCCAAAGCTTTACTACCACCTTATGTAGCAGTTATACCTACTGATTTAAGTGCAGATATACTAGTGTCCAAGCTCTTTCTCCATATTACACTGAGAACTCGTGCTACTGATACTTTCTTCGTGAATATTGAATTCCATGAATCCGGACGTGGGGCCTAGTGCATGGGCATGTTGTCAATTTCTCTTTCAAAGACTTATGTGTTTGTAGTAATATCAGTTATATTGTCTGGGGTTTGGATAGCATTCATAAAGTTGTCCGGATCTTCAACTTTCATGTGTATTGGGATGCTAAACATAGCCTCATTCTGGACTTTTTGAATTTCATTGGTTTCTTTCTGTCATCCTCTTGTGTTATCTTCAGTTGTAAGTATAGGTGCAATACTGGGTAGGGGGTTTTGATTTTGCATTTGTAAAAAAAATTGGGGATTTTTCAGTCCCTCGGATTTGTATGATCGCTTCAGTGTCTGGTTTATTTCTTTAATCTCCCTGTTTATATTTTTTCTTTGTTGTGAAAGTCATGTCTGCTTCAGCATGTCTGATTTTTCCTTCTTTTGCAGTCTGCGTTATCTTTCTTGAGGGGTCCTCTTTCTGACCCTCCACAAAGGCAGATGCTTCAAGCAGATTTTGTATGCTTCAGCAGTCGGCTGGCCTATTTCCTGTGTGGAATTTTTGTCAATGTTCCCATTGTTTTCTATTTATTTTTTCCCCAGTCAATCCTCTTACTGTTAAAATTTAATTGTTTGAATACCCCTTCTCAGTTATTAATCTTGGACTTATTACAGGTATTGATGTTAGTTTGAACCTCAATGAGCTTGTGGTCTGAGTATGTAGTATCTGAGATTGTAGTATGATTATTTCTTTATTGTTTGTGAAGGTTTTTGAATGAATGGGTTTTTGTTCCTGATTGGCTGTTACCTTCCTTGTTGAGCAAGAATGTCCCAGAATCTCAGTAGTTCTCTGACCTATGGCTGGTTATTTCAGGTTGATTTCCTGCTATAGATACTGTTTGCTATTCTCCATCTTAAACTGGATAGATTAAAGTCCTCAAGGAAGATATCTGGTACTGGGTTTGCTAGGTTACCAAGACCTCTATTTTGTGCATCTGCTCTGAATTCCTCAACTGTTGCATCTAGCAGTTTGTATATTAGAATAATAATCAGGTTTATTTTGTCTACCTTGATTCCAAGTACCTCTACCAGGGTTTGGTTGAGTTTAGTAGCTCTGTGCATACCAGTTCCTCTTAACATGTAGACCTACTCCTCCATTTGACCTATTTACTCGTCATACCTATATAGATTATAATTTGGGACATATATTCCACTATCCATGTAATCTTTTTTGCATGAGTTTCTGTAAATGCTCCAAATATTAAATTTGACTATTAGAAGACCATAAATGAACCTTATTTCTTAATTTTGAATTTTGGTCTTGTATGTCTGCATATATAAAAAAAATATTGTTACTTCTGGTGGTTTTGAGTTCTCCCTTTCCATTATGATCCAACCTGTGTTTTTTAGAAATGGTTCATCCAGTTTTGGCAGTTGTGGTGTTGTAAAGTGGGCTAGTTTCTGTGGAGCAGGAGTTGTACAGGGTTAATGACTACTTTTAGTCCAATCTTGCATACTTCTCCCTTCCCACCCATACTCCTGTGTTTCTGTATACTTGTTGTTCTCTTATATGCTCTACAGTTTCTGCCTGCCTGTAAAACACTGTCAGAATTATCACATTAATCTTCCTGTCTATAACACTATGTACCTCTCATGTGGAAATCTGGAGATTGAAGATCATAGCATTTTTCTCATTACTGTACACTGTAATTGAAAATTTGTATTGTTTAGGGTGGAAATATTGGAACTGTTCCAAAACTGCATGTACCCTCACGGTGTCGCTCCCTTCCTCTAGTGGCTTTGTTTCGGTTGCAGTGCCCACCACCTGCTGATATGGAGGCGGACCTGGGTGACTCAATGGTTGCTCGAGCAGTTGTGCAGGAGCCTGAGTTTTGCTTGCTTGGTTTTTCTGCTGGGCAAGGTGTGGCTTTGGGGGCTGTTCTGGATCCTCTGGTTACGCCCCTTTCACTGCAGCTGTGACTGCTGGGTTTAGACTTCTCTTGCACTTTGCCAGCTGCTGTGTCATTGACTTCTTTTTCAGGGTTCGGTTCCTTGGCGCCACCGCTTTCCCTTGCTTGACGTCTTTACAGACATTTTGGCTCTGGTTATTGGGCATTGGTTGCTCCCTTTTCATTAGGTGCACAGTATGATGTCCTGAGGAGGATTCAGGCTCCTCCTGGTTCTGGCTCCAGCTTGCATTTGGATTGTGCCCTGGTGGTTCAGTGTCTGACCTGAATGAGGGGGTTCACTTTGGAGCTGGACATTGCATGTAACCTATTGCTACCTATTTGGGGTTTGGTTCTTTGTGTAGTTGACACTTAAGGAGTGTCCAACACTCGCAGTTGCTCCGTCTCAGTTCCTTGGTCCACAGAGTGGATCATTGATGCTGCCTCCTCCCAGTGGCTTTGCAAGATCTTAAGGTGCCATGATGTGGATCAGCCTGGAATCAACACCTTCACTTCATTTCCTGATTATGAGGCCTTTGTGGTGGATGCCTTTGAGCTGGACTGGTCATGGTGGTGGTGGTTTCTGTTATTTGTCCTCTAGTCCAGCTGTTGCTCTGGATCCTGGCCAGCTTGAAGTCCTATCCTATCAAGGAAAAGTGGTCCTTCTGGCTCCATGGTGACTGGCTTAGTCTTGGTTTCAGGCATTGCTTGCTTGGTGTCCAAACCAAGGCAGTTTTCCATGGCTCCACCTCTTCTCCTTGGCTCTGTGTCTGGTATTTCTGACGCATCTTCATTGCCCTCGGTATAGCAAGCAGGTGGCTGCATTGATCGTATACCACCTGGATTTATTTTTTCTGCAGCCGTATGAGGTTTATTGGTGCTCTTTCACCAGCTCTTCACAACGCCCTTCATCGTTGCTCTTTGGTCTGTGTACCAATGCCTCTTCTCGTGCAGTGCTGGCAGTCATTGCTGCTTACGCTCGGTGTCAATGCTGCCTTGGTGCTTTTTTTTAAAACTGTCAAGCATGTTTTTTTACCTCTGGCTTGTTTATGCACTTCCTAAACCCACTTGGTCCTTGGACCATGTTGTTGCTTTTCTTTCTTCTCTTCGGGTTACAGTGTCGCCTTTGGTCCGGGATTCTTTTACTAAGACTCCTTTTCTGTTGGCACTTACCTCCAGTTATAGGGTTGGAGATCTTCAAGGTCTTCTCCAGAGGCATAAGTTTGTTCCTTTGGCCCTGGAAGGTGTTATGCTCATTTGTAACCATCTTTTCTTTTTCTGGTGGAGAATGAGTTGGCAGGCTTCCAGAGGGGTGCCTTGGTTGTTGATGCTTGGCTAGTTTGGCCTGGGGTGCATCAAGTGCTGTGTCCAGTGGTGGCTCTCCACCACTACCTTCATGCCACTGATTATGCCTCAGTGGATACAATGTGGGTAGAACCAGTTTCCTTGGTTTCTTGTTTTAAGGCTCATTCGTGTCTCTCAGGTTGTCCACTGTATCATAATCTAGCCAGCCTGTGATCTAATAAAGTACCCATAATGTTCAGAAGTATGCTGCTCTGCAGCAGTTTTTGCTAATATTCAGGTGTGGGGGTTTTGGTTGTCTAACAGGATTGTGGTGACCTTGTTCAATGACACCTCGACTTACAATTGCCCCTACTTACAAATGTTTTGAGTTACGACGTAAATTTTGTCAGAAAATACAATTCGATTTACGACTGTGTCCTTGACTAACGACCTTTGATGATATGCGTTTGAGTCGACCAGTCGACCAAGCACGGGTTCCTGGTGATGCAGCCGACCCCGCCTCAGTTTACCTGAGCCGCCCGCTTAGTGACGATCACGCTTGTAAAAAATTTCAGTATTTTTGTGCTTTTTTTTGTTTGTTTTTTGAACATAAAAGTATTATATATCATGCCATGGGTCCCAAGAAAGTCAGTGGTAAGGTTCAACCCATGAAAACACATGTGAGGAAAAACGAGATCATTTGTAAACATGAAAATAGCATGAGGGTTGATGAAGAGTAGAGGATGTCCCTTCCTCATTTATTAAGGAAATGTGTGCAGTATTTCAAAGTTGGAAGGAAGAATTGCAAAGTTTTGCAGAAAAGTGTCACCCAAATAAAGCTGTAGCAGACAGTTATGTTAACCTTCTTAATGACAATGTGATGTCTCACTTCAGACAATTGTAACAATGTAGGGAAAAACAAGTGTTGCTAGACAGGTTTTTAGTGAGAAAATCAAGCAGTGAGCCACAAGCTTGTCCTAGTGGTATGCAGGCAAAATGTAAGAGAGAGAGAGTGTGTGTGTGTGTGAGAGAGAGAGTGTGAGTGTGTGTGTGTACTCACCTAGTTGTGCTTGCGGGGGTTGAGCTCTGGCTCTTTGGTCCCGTCAATCAACAGGTGTACAGGTTCCTGAGCCTACTGGGCTCTTATCATATCTACACTTGAAACTGTGTATGGAGTCAGCCTCCACCACATTACTTCCTAATGCATTCCATTTGTCAACCACTCTGACACTAAAAGAGTGCTTTCTAATATCTCTGTGGCTCATTTGGGCACTCAGTTTTGTGTGTGTGTGTGTGTGTGTGTGTGTGTGTGTGTGTGTGTGTGTGTGTGTGTGTGTGTGTGTGTGTGTGTGTGTGTGTGTGTGAGTGAGTGAGTGAGTGAGTGAGTGAGTGAGTGAGTGAGTGAGTGAGTGTGTGTGTGTGTGTGTGTGTGTGTGTGTGTGTGTGTGTGTGTGTGTGTGTGTGTGTGTGTGTGTGTGTGAGTGAGAGTACCCAAGAAAAGTCATCACTGCCTGATGTTATAATGGAAGGGGACTTTCCTTAAAAAGACTAACACCTCTCCTCCTTTTCCCCTCTCACTGTCTTCCATACCCCAACAAGAGTCCTTATTCAAGGTAAGATATGCATACTGTATTGTAGTGTTATTCACTACAATACAGTCGATTGATTACTGGAAGGTTATCAAGATAAGATTAAACTAGACCTCTAGGTGACTGAAGGTATCGGAGACCTTGCTTTAAGGGATTTTTGCCAATTGTACTGGTTCTTAAGTACATGTTTCTTTCTTTGGATGACTTCTCTAGCCTTTTCTTTACCAATTCACTTAGTAAATAATTATCTGCAGTGGTAAGTAAAACTATACTGGCATTACAGATGGGTCTCAAAAGGCAATTATTGTGGGGGATATTTTAATACTTGGAAGACAGTCAAAGTTACCCATTAAACATTCACTTTTCTCCTCTTCCTTGTGTGTGTGTCCGGTGTCTCCAGAGCCGCATCACTCTCCACCTCGATTTCTTCCTTTTCCTCTTCAACATTTCCTTGTGTTACACACCTGATTAACTTATTTTTTTTGCTTTTCTTCACCATTTCCCTGAGAAGAAAATAGCACATTACAGAAGTATGACATATACAATATACATATACAAATTTCAACAATAATGTTTTCAGAAAACTTAGTATATTTGTTTATCACTTAACATAATTGTCTCTGCAAGAATTTCTAGACTTAATGACAGTCAGAATATATTACAAGCCTTACCTTCGTCTGCGCTTGTCCAGCTGCTCGTAAAGAACACCTTGGGAGACATGACCTCTTTCTGGTTGTTGGGTAGATAACTTCTTCCTTTCCCTCTTCCTTGGTTTCTTAAGCTCCAGCATCCAGCTCGGCACTTCTTGACCAGAGCTTTGAATCACTTGTGCAACACTGATTAATTCAATGAAAATAATAATGGTTTTAAGATTGTAGTACTGTATAATGTATAATAATACACAAGAAAATTATAGTACTGTACAGTATATTAATAGATTAAGGGGGGGGGGTTATTATGAAAAATTAACATATACAGTATATACTAATCAGACATATTAAGACCTGAAATATAATCATTTCAGTTTTATACTTTCAAGGGGCTGGACCCACAAACCTTAAAATGATGGAAAAGCAGTGAAAGAACAGGTTACAATTATTGTGATGCCTAACCTTTTATATTACTTTACACACACGGCTGCTTTATAGCAAGAATGTGACGTGTGGATGTGTTTTCAAGGGGGGGGGGGGGTGTTGTGAATGCACTAAGTTAGGCAAGGAAATTGAACATGGAAAGAGCTTTCATCAGAAACTAAATTAAGAGGATCTAGAAGAAGTACAAGATTATGCAACTAATCCCTATGCATGACCAAAGAAAAATAAATATTAGAAGCAATTAGTGACAGCAACAAGAAGAATCCTGTAAAGTCTCTACCTAAAATTTTCAACACAGAGCGTATTACAGATGAACCTGGAATCTGCCGCCTGCCAATATTATGCATGGGTAGGGAAGGGGGGATGGGGGTTAACTAGAACTAATGGCACATGCAACTATATGCACCCAAGAAACTGCAGAAATATCCTAAATACAGGTACATGTTGCTAATCTTGTTTTCACTGTACAAAACTTTGCAAACAAGAAAAAAAGTTAACAGACTGCCCATCTTTTCATATCAAAAGAGCCAAGTAAATCAAATCAAAATTATGCTCCCAGCTCCAGACATTCCAGGGAGTATTTATATTTTTTTAAGAAAATGGCCAAAAATGTCAAAAACACTACCATCAACTCGGTCAAATGATTGAAAACACAACGTGGCTCACCTACTATAACCAGATAGTAACAAAACAATCGGCACTTCCACACACAACATATTTTGTATTTGCCAACATATAACTATGTTATAACCACTATATAACTGGTCTCCTAAATGAGGCAAATGCAATAGTTGCAGCTATAAAAAACTCATACAAATGACTTATGACAGCAAGATGTGGATACCAGAATTCAATCTTTTCAAATGTGAAGGAAAAATACTACAAAAAGTGAAACTACATTTTATATATATATATATATATATATATATATATATATATATATATATATATATATATATATATATATATATATATATATATATATAAATTAGCTGGTAAAAATTGACATGACATCCCTTTTTCCATTTATGGGTCTTCAGTTAATTTAGTTTATCAGTTTAGCAACATTGTGAATGCTCAAGAGAATGGGGTATACCAATGTAACGGTTCTGTTGTTACGTAAAGTATGGTGACAAATAAACACAGACACTAAGATACTATATATATATTTGGTCGAATATACAGAAGTACACAGGTGATACGTTGGTGTGAGTTGAGCGCACTGAGCGTTGGTACAGTATCTCGCAAGTGTCTGCTCTAGACCACACTTGAAAGTAGACTAGTTAATGTTCGCTACACCGCTGCTTATATTGCTCGGGCATCTGTATACCATCCTGTATACCAAAGACATATCTAATTTGCATAGAGCTGCTAAACACCACAAATGATATGGTATACTGATAATAAAAATTCTAAATGTAGTGATTGTCCTTGTAAATACAAGAAGCAAATCATAAATTTAAAGGCCAACATACAAAAATTAAATACTGCTTAGAAAACCTCACAAACCCTGCCCCAAACATCATGTGGCTTGGTAATTTCAACTGGTGGTATCTAAAATGGGAAAATGTGGCAAATAGTTATATCGGAAATAATCCCAGGAAGCAGTCTCGGTGAAATCACACAAAAAACTTGCAGATATGTCATAAATTAAACCTTAAACCAGCAAATAGTAGAACCCACTAGAAAATACCCTACCTTGAGGTGCTACCCTACCCTAGATCTTATTTTTACAAACAATGAACTTATTACGGATATAATGGTCACTCGAATCAAAATCTAATTGAAGGTCAGACATTCATTGCCAAAAGAAAAGTGCAGCCAATCTAAAATCAGAGGAGGGGGAGGAATTCAGCAAATTCAATAACCAACAGATCAACTGGGAACAAATAAACCCAGTCCTTGCAGAAACATGCTGGAAAAGACGGCTAGATACTACAAACTTAAACCAGTGCTTTGAGTAAATAGGCACAGTAGCACTAGTAATATGTGAAAGTCATATACTACTAAGGGAAAACAGATGCAAGTTGGAACGAGAATGGCATTCCCTCTATTGACGAAGAAAACGGTTGCAAAACATGTCAAATGATCTATGCTATCCTAAGAAAGTTATGTTGACAAACACAAATGATCAAACTAAAGTTAATATAGAATCATAAGATCCAGGAGAGGCAAAAGGTCGTAAGTGAAACGAGTAATACAAAAAACATTTTCACCTATGCAAAGTCCAGTACAAAAACTACATCCAGCATTGGATCCTTGTGTAAGGGTGATGAAACAGTCACAGATGGCAACAAAGAAATAGTGAAGTGACAGAGGCTACAGTACAATTCTGTTTTCAGTGAACACGCTGAAATTCAATGATCCACTTGTGAATCTTTACGAATGTGACACCACCATCGGATCATGTATAAAATGTTACCCAACTGAACTTTTAAGAAGCAATAGACAGCATCTTGAGGTTATCTTGAGATGATTTCGGGGCTTTAGTGTCCCCGCGGCCCGGTCCTCGACCAGGCCTCCACCCCCAGGAAGCAGCCCGTGACAGCTGACTAACACCCAGGTACCTATTTTACTGCTAGGTAACAGGGGCATAGGGTGAAAGAAACTCTGCCCATTGTTTCTCGCTGGCGCCTGGGATCGAACCCAGGACCACAGGATCACAAGTCCAGTGTGCTGTCCGCTCGGCCGACCGGCTCAGCATGCTCATGCACTCTGTACCAGGCCTGGACTCTTGGAATTCTATATTCATCAAGAAGTGCAAAACAGGCATTACCACAGGCCCTAAAACATCTTTTGGAAATGGATCCTAGTTAGTGGTGTTATCCCTGACATACTTAAAACAGTGTGCCACTTAACAAATTAGATGCAAAAAATTATAGCCCGATAGCCCTAACATTACACATCATAAAAATCTTTGAAAGAGTGCCAAGATCACAATTCACATGGAATCACATCATCTACATAACCCCGGACAATATGGGTTCAGAATAGGGCACTTTTGCCTCTCACAATTGCTAGATTGCTATAACACAGCCTTAGATACCATGGAAGACAAACAAAACACTGATGTAATACAAACAGACTGCAATTTTTTTTTTGACAAATTTGACAATGGTATTATTGTGCACAAAATGCATTCAAAAGGAATTACTGGCAAAGTTGAGAGATGGATCTTTAATATCTTAACAAAAACACAGAGCGCACGAGTCAACGAAGTAAAATTGAGATTCAACCGTGAAAAGCTCAGCCTCTGTAGGTACAGTGCTTGCTCCAATACCTTTTCTCATTCACTTGTCATGGATACAAACTATAGTACAGTATCATCTTTTGTAGATGACACGGATTATCATGAGAGTAGACAATACAGAGGTTACAGCAAATTGCCAATCTGATGTTTTATCAGGTCTTTCAATGGGCTACAGATAATATGTTTAACGAAGATAAAACCATATTATCAATGGAAAAAAAAAATATAAAATGCAGTCAAATCCCACAATTGAACAAAATAGCAATATAAAGGATCTCTAAGTAATCATGTCAGAGGAGTCTTCTACTCCCCGAGCCCGACCTGAGACCAATAGTACATATTGGTACTATCAACCAAATAAAAAATGCTACAAGCATTTTAGGGGAATGGGATGAATTTTTAAGAATCTGGTTATTAATGCCGTCTATTATGAAGACTAAACTGTGAAAAAACAATCGACAAAAGAAATTTCTGCTACTGATAGCAAGTACACGTCATCAAAAGCGAGATTTTATTGCTATACTGTATTTGTCATTTTTTCCTTGTGAAAATTAATAAAAAATTATACTTGTAAAGCCATCAAAGTTCAGCTTGTCCAGGGCACTAGGAACCCGGAGGATGGTCCTGCTGACTGTGTTGTGCAGGTGAAGGGTTAAATACTGCAGGTCGAGAGAGAATTGTGTTGTACATTGTAACTTTCTAGTGATAATGGTAGAGTTGGGTCTGGGGGAAGGGCACTTCAACATGCATGGAAACTAACTGCTCTCTCACTATGTAGAATCAGAACTTAATTCATTCTGCATTAAGTTCTTAATGCAACTTCAGTGTTAAAAGCGGGTCTGGTTTATTATTATTCAAGCCTTCCTGGGCAACACCTCCCCACCTCATGAAAGTGGGAAATGAAGTGACGACGAACTACTACAAAGTTTGTAATGTTTTACCTTCTTAGATAAGGCTTATCATCCATCGTCCAGAATGTAATGGCGTGTCCTTGGTGGTGAGCTCGCCCTGTTCTTCCCACTCTGTGAATATAACTGACTGCTGATGGTGGGAAATCATAATTGATGACAAGATTGACACCTTTGAAGTCAATACCGCGGGCCATGAGTTCTGTACATATCAAAACCCATATTTTTCGTTCCCTAAATGCCCGAACTACATTATCACGCTGAAAAAATAAAATATACATTGATTATTTGCTTCACTTTTGTTCGAAGTTCACAGTTGGTTCCCCCCCCCCCCACCTTGCACCAGCCAAGGCAAACATCCATTGTATCATATGACAAGATCTGCAACAACTCTTCAGGATGACATTTTAGCACACCAAAGGAAATTTTTAAACATCTGCATGGTCATTATAGTGCTAGTGTCACTGGAGAAAACCTCAGTCCAGCCCAGAATGACAGACAGAGGTACATTCATCTGCCAGTGCCAGAATGTCATTCTGACTAGTCTTGAACCTGTCATACTGTAAAGCAGATCCTTACCTTAGGAGTTTACTAAATAATTTTGTTCAGAAAGATACTTTTCAGGATCACTTAAAAGACTGAATCTCCACCCTAAGTGAAGTACTGTATAAAGTGCAAATACATTATATTTTACAAATTCAATTATTCATAATAAAAGACTAACATTTCAAATATATTTACTCATTCTTACCTGAAGTTGTGTACGATCAGCATGGATTGCATCAACCATAATATTATCATATATCAACTCCTTGAATAATTCCTTGGCACGCTCTTTGGTCTGTACAAACAACAGGACTGGTGGCTCATAACCCTGAAATTTAATCGATACACATTTATTTTTTAAATTCTCCTGTGAAATATTTAATTTACAGTATTGTATTACTGAAAATACACAGGGAAGGCTAGATGAAAATATGACTATTTACAAGTCAGTACAGTAATTACAATGATCAACGTTTTTTAAACATTGTCTGCTTCTGAGATGGGGGGAAAAAAACAGCGTTGAATGTAATGAAACTCCATTTTCTGGGCAAGACCCTTTAGCTTCCAAGGCTGATATGGATATGTTAGACCTTGGCATCAGTGTGAATAGATTTCTTAGGCCTAATGGGGCCCCGAGCCAGAACCTGGCCCCCTTCAGAGAGGAAAGAGGAGCAATGGCTTATAGAAACCCCCGTGTGGTCGATGCATTCTGTCCGCCATCGACCGGGTCAGGTACCCGGAAAGGTAAGCATCCCCAAAACAGACCCCTATTCTGGTTAAGAAATTGCTACTGAAAGTCGAACTAGTGGACAGAACCCCCCCACCCAAAACAAAAACGAGTAAATGAGCATGACGTCACCACACCACCGTCTGCAGTTCCCCTTCCTCTCAAGGAGGGGGAAGAGGGAGCCCCAGATCCTTCGCACTGGTTACCCAAAACCTCAGTTCTGATGCTGATGTGATAGGCTGAAGTCCTGTCTGGCTCTTGATTGTCTCCAGTTCTGTACCTAGTGGTGTGGGGACTGTTCCTTGGGGGGTGTGCAAGCCATGAGTAATTCTTCGGTACTCGGGCTGCATGCGCCTCACTTTAGCTGGGTGATTTTCTAGAGTGCTCCCTGGTACTAGTATGATCATGCAGGGATGTTTGAAAAGTTCTCAGTGGTACTGGTACCTGAAATGTCACTCTACCCAACTGCAAGATGGCAGTGGTAATCTCTCCCTATGGCAGTGGTAATCTCTCCCTATGGCAGTGGTAATCTCTCCCTATGGCAGTGGTATTCTACCTTTGGCAGTGGTAATCTCCCTATAGCGGTGATAATCTCCCTATGACAGTGGTAATCTCCCTATGACAGTGGTAATCTCCCTATGGAGGTGGTAATCTCTCCCTATGACAGTGGTAATCTACCTATGACTGGTAATCGACCTATGGCAGTGGTAATCTCTCCCTATGGCAGTGGTAATCTCTCCCTATGGCAGTGGTAATCTCTCCCTATGACAGTGGTACTCTCCCTATGGCAGCGGTAATCTACCAATGGCAGTGGTAATCTACCAATCGCAATGATAATCTACCTATGGCAGTAGTAATCTCCCTATGGCAGTGGTAATCTCCCTATGACAGTGGTAATCTCTCCCTATGGCAGTGGTAATCTACCTATGACTGGTAATCGACCTATGGCAGTGGTAATCTCTCCCTATGGCAGTGGTAATCTCTCCCAATGGCAGTGGTAATCTCTCCCAATGGCAGTGGTAATCTCTTCCTATGGCAGTGGTAATCTCTCCCTATGGCAGTGGTAATCTCCCTATGGCAGTGGTAATCTCCCTATGGCAATGGTAATCTCTCCCTATGGCAGTGGTAATCTACCTATGGCTGGTAATCTCCCTATGGCAGTGGTAATCTACCTATTTCAGTGGTAATCTACCTATGGGAGTGTTAATCTCTCCCTATGAAGGTGGTAATCTCTGCCTATGGAGGTGGCAATCTCTCCCTATGGTGGTGGTAATCTCTCCCTATGGTGGTGGTAATCTCTCCCTATGGTGGTGGTAATCTCTCCCTATGGTGGTGGTAATCTCTCCCTATGGTGGTGGTAATCTCTCCCTATGGCAGTGGTAATCTCTCCCTATGGTGGTGGTAATCTCCCTTTGGCAGTGTTAATCTACCTATAGCAGTGGTAATCTCTCTCTATGGAGGTGGTAATCTCTGCCTATGGAGGTGGTAATCTCTGCCTATGGAGGTGGTAATCTCTCCATATGGCAGTGTTAATCTACCTATAGCAGTGGTAATCTCTCTCTATGGAGGTGGTAATCTCTGCCTATGAAGGTGGTAATCTCTCCCTATGGAGTTGGTAATCTTTCTATGGTGGTCGTAATCTCTCCCTATGGCAGTGGTAATCTCTCCCTATGGTGGTGGTAATCTCTCCCTATGGCAGTGGTAATCTGTCCCTATGGCAGTGGTAATCTGTCCCTATGGAGGTGGTAATCTCTCCCAATGGCAGTGGTAATCTCTCCCAATGGCAGTGGTAATCTCTCCCAATGGCAGTGGTAATCTCTCCATATGGCAGTGGTAATCTCTCCATATGGCAGTGGTAATCTCTCCCTATGGCAGTGTTAATCTACCTATAGCAGTGGTAATCTCTCTCTATGGAGGTGGTAATCTCTCCCTATGGAGGTGATACCTGGTTGATACCTGGTTGAGGGGGTTCTGGGAGTTCTTCTACTCCCCAAGCCCGCCCCGAGGCCAGGCTCGACTTGTGAGAGTTTGGTCCACCAGGCTGTTCCTTGGAGCGGCCCGCAGGGCCATATACCCACCACAGCCCGGCTGATCCGGAACTTCTCTTAGAAAACCGTCCAGTTTCCTCTTGAAGATGTCCACGGTTGTTCCGGCAATATTTCTTATAGTCGCTGGGAGGACGTTGAACAACCGCGGACCTCTGATGTTTATACAGTGCTCTCTGATTGTGCCTATGGCACCTCTGCTCTTCACTGTTTCAATCTTGCATTTTCTTCCATATCGTTCACTCCAGTACGTTGTTATTTTACTGTGTAGATTTGGGACCTGACCCTCCAGTATTTTCCATGTGTATAATATTTGGTATCTCTCTCGTCTCCTTTCTAGAGAGTACATTTGGAGAGCTTTGAGACAATACCAATAATTTAGGTGTTTTATCTCGTCTATACGTGCCGTAAATGTTCTCTGTATTCCCTCTATTTCAGCAATCTCTCCTGCTCTGAAGGGGAGAGTGAGTACTGAGCAGTACTCGAGACAAGACAACACAAGTGACTTGAAGAGTACTCTTCAAGAGAGAGGTGGTAATCTCTCCCTATGGAAGTGGTAATCTCTTCCTATGGCAGTGGTCATCTCCCTATGGTAGTGGTCATCTCCCTATGGTAGTGGTAATCTCCCTATGGCAGTGGTAATCTCCCTATGGCAGTGGTAATCTCCCTATGGCAGTGGTAATCTCCCTATGGCAGTGGTAATCTCCCTATGGCAATGGTAATCTCCCTATGGCAGTGGTAATCTCCCTATGACAGTGGTAATCTCCCTATGACAGTGGTAATCTCCCTATGATAGTGGTAATCTCTCCCTATGATAGTGGTAATCTCCCTATGATAGTGGTAATCTCTCCCTATGACAGTGGTAATCTCCCTATGATAGTGGTAATCTCTCCCTATGATAGTGGTAATCTCTCCCTATGACAGTGGTAATCTCCCTATGATAGTGGTAATCTCTCCCTATGATAGTGGTAATCTCTCCCTATGATAGTGGTAATCTCTCCCTATGACAGTGGTAATCTCTCCCTATGATAGTGGTAATCTCTCCCTATGACAGTGGTAATCTCCCTATGGCAGTGGTAATCTACCTATGACAGTGGTAATCTCTCCCTATGGCAGTGGTAATCTCCCTATGATAGTGGTAATCTCTCCCTATGATAGTGGTAATCTCTCCCTATGATAGTGGTAATCTCTCCCTATGGCAGTGGTCATCTCCCTATGGTAGTGGTAATCTCCCTATGGCAGTGGTAATCTCCCTATGGCAGTGGTAATCTCCCTATGACAGTGGTAATCTCCCTATGGCAGTGGTAATCTACCTATGGCAGTGGTAATCTACCTATGGCAGTGGTAATCTACCTATGGCAGTGGTAATCTCTCCCTATGGCAGTGGTAGTCTACCTATTGCAGTGGTAATCTACCTATGGCAGTGATAATCTACCTATGGCAGTGATAATCTACCTATGGCAGTGGCAATCTCTCCCTATGGCAGTGGTAATCTCTCTATGGCAGTGGAAATCTACCTATGGCAGTTGTAATCTACCTATGGCAGTGGTAGTCTCTCCCTATGGAGGTGGTAATCACTCCCTATGATGGTGGTAATCTCTCCCAAGGGAGCCGGTCGGCCGAGCGGACAGCATGCGGGACTTGTGATCCTGTGGTCCTGGGTTCGACCCCAGGCGCCGGCGAAAAACAATGGGCAGAGTTTCTTTCACCCTATGCCCCTGTTACCTAGCAGTAAATTAGGTACCTGGGTGTTAGTCAGCTGTCACGGGCTGCTTCCTGGGGGTGGAGGCCTGGTCGAGGACCGAGCCGCGGGGACACTAAAAGCCCCGAAATCATCTCAAGATAACCTCAAGATGGCGGTGGTAATCTCTCCCTATGGCGGTGGTAATCTCTCCCTATGGCGGTGGTAATCTCTCTCCCTATGGTGGTGGTAATCTCCCCCTATGGCAGTTGTAATCTCTCAATACGGAGGTGGTAATCTCTCCCTATGGCAGTGGTAATCTCCATAGGACAGTGGTAATCACTCTATGGCAGTGTTAATCTCCCTATGGCAGTGGTAATCTCTCCCTATGGAGGTGGTAACCTCTCCCTATGGCAGTGGTAATCTCTCCCTGTGGCAGTGGTAATCTACCTATAGCAGTGGAAATCTCTCTCTATCGAGGTGGTAATATCTCCATATGGATGTGGTAATCTCTCCCTTAGCAGTAGTAATCTACTTATGGCAGTGGTAATCTACATATGCCAGTAGTAATCTACCTATGGCAATCTACCAATGGCAGTGGCAATCTACCCATGGCAGTGGTAATCTACCTATAGTAGCGGTAATCTCCCCACGGCAGTGGTAATCTACCTATAGTAGCGGTAATCTCCCCATGGCAGTGGTAATCTACCAATGGCAGTGGCAATCTACCCATGGCAGTGGTAATCTCTCCCTATGGCAGTGGTAATCTCTCCCTATGGCAGTGGTAATCTCTCCCTATGACAGTGGTAATCTCTCCCTATGACAGTGGTAATCTCTCCCTATGACAGTGGTAATCTCTCCCTATGACAGTGGTAATCTCTCCCTATGACAGTGGTAATCTCTCCCTATGACAGTGGTAATCTCTCCCTATGACAGTGGTAATCTCTCCCTATGACAGTGGTAATCTCTCCCTATGACAGTGGTAATCTCTCCCTATGACAGTGGTAACCTCTCCCTATGACAGTGATAATCTCTCCCTATGGAGGTGGTAATAGACTCTCAAAACTCAAAAACAAAATAGCACTCTCTCAAAACTTTTTATGATGTGCGATGTTAGTGCTATCGGTCTGTAATTTTTTGCCTCTGCCTTATTTCCTCCTTTATAGAGTGGTGCTATCTCTCTGCTGTTTTTAGTATGTCAGGGATAACGCCAGTATCTAGGCTTTGTCTCCACAGAATGTGAAGGGCATGCGATAGTGGTTTTTTACAGTTCTTGATGAATATGGAGTTCCAAGAATTCGGGCCTGGTGCAGAGTGCATAGGCATACTGTTTATGGCTTCTTCAAAATCTAGTGGGGATAGGGCGACGTCTGATATATCATTTGATGTTGGTATCATATCCATGAAAAATTCATTTGGGTTATCAATCTTTAGTGCATTTAATGGCTCGCTGAAAACAGAGTCGTACTGCTTCCTCAGTAACTCGCTCATTTCTTTGTTGTCATCGGTGAAAGTTCCATCTCCCTTTCGCAGGGGCCCGATACTAGATGTGGTTTTTGATCTTGATTTTGCATAGGAGAAAAAATATTTCGGATTTCTCTCTATTTCACTGATGGCCTTTTGCTCTCTTTGCCTCTCCTGGGTTTTGTATGATTCTTGTAGCTTGAGTTCAATTGTTTCTATTTCTCTACCTAACCTTCTTCGCCGTTCTTGACATAGGGTGCGACTCTCAAGTTGTTCCGCGATTCGTTTTCTTCGCCTCTATAGGGAACGACGTTCCCGTTCCAATCTGCATCTCTTTCTCTTTTTTTCTTAGGGGTATGCGGTTTGAACATATTTCTAGTGCTACTGAGCTTATTTTTTCCAGGCACTGGTTCAGGTTTGCATTTTCTAGCTGTTCTTCCCAGTTTATTTCTGTGAAGTCCTGGTTTATTTGCTCCCAGTTTATCTGTTTATTATTGAAGTTGAATTTGCTGAAATCTCCTCCACCGGGAATCTGGACTGGTTTTGAAGGTCCATTCCCCATGGTTGTCAGAACTTCAATTAAGTTGTGATCTGAGTAACAGGTATTTGTAATCATTATGTTCCCGATCAACTCATCATTATTAGTGAAAATGAGGTCCAGCGTGTTCTCCTTCCTAGTTGGTTCTACTATTTGCTGGTTTAAGGCAAACCTATCGCACATCCGTAGCAGGTCATTTGCATGTGCCTGTTCATTTAGGCTACTTCCTGGTATTCTTTCTGATATTACTGTATTAGCCAGGTGCTTCCATTTCAGGTGCCGTAGGTTGAAGTCCCCAAGCAGGATGATGTTCGGAGCTGGATTTGCGAGGTTTTCCAAGTAGTGCTCTATTTTCATTAGTTGGTCTTTAAACTGCTGAGGGTTTGCCTCCGGCGACTTATATACAAGGACAACAACTACATTTAGGATCTCTATTTTGACTATCAGCACTTCCACCATATCATTTGAGGTGTTTAGCAGCTCAGTACAGATGAGTGTGTCTTTGATGTAGAGGCTGACCCCACCCTGAAGCCGGTGTTTCCTATCACATCTGAAGAGATTGTATTCTGAGATCCATATTTCACCATCAAGGTAGTCCTTTGTGTGAGTTTCCGTTAGGGCTGCAAACACTGCATTTGCCTCATGAAGGAGACCATCTATAAAGTGAACTTTGTTAGATTTGCGTGTTTTTATACCCTGGATGTTGGCAAATATAAATGATGTTATCGTGTTAGTGGAAGTGCTGGATGCTTTACTTGGTGTTAATATCTGAGGCTCTGGTAAGGAGGCCACTGTGTTTGCGTCCTCTCTAGCATTTGACCGAGTTGGTGGTAGAGTCCGGTCATTTTTAGCCATTCTTCTCCTCCTCCTCTTGCTAAAAAATTATCCTGGTCGATGGAGTAGTGGCTGTTTTCATAGTGGTAGTCTGTCGGTTTTATTCGCCTGGTACCTCTTATATGAAGAGCTGGACATTCAGCATTGAAGCACTCTTTCCTGTCCAAAGAGTTCTTGCAAATTTCTGGGTGAAAGAATTCAAATTCTTGCAAATTTCTGGGTGAATGGCAGTGGTAATCTCCCCATAGCAGTGATTTTCTCTCTCACAAAATTTTTTTTTATTGAGTGCTAACAAGTAAGATCACAAAATACATGGAATCACGGCATCTCCATAACCCCTGACAACATGGTTTCAGAAGAGGGCGCTCTTGCATGTCGCAGTTGCTGGACCACTATGATATAGCATTAGATGCTATGGAAGACAAACAAAACGCTGATGTAATTAACACAGATTTCGCAAAAGCCTTTGATAAATGTGACCATGGTGTTATTGCACGTAAAATGCTTTCAAAAGGAATTACCGGAAAAATAGGCAGATGGATCTACAATTTCCTGACTAACAGAACCCAATGTGTAATAATCAACAAAATAAAATCCAGACCATCAAACGTGAGGAGCTCAGTCCCCCAGAGTACTATGCTTGCTCCAGTACTTTCTCATCCTCATATCGGACATAGACAAGAACACAACCTATAGCACTGTATCATCCTTTGCAGATGACACTAGGATCTTCATGAGAGTAGGCAATATAGAGGACACGGCAAACCTCCAATCAGATGTAGATCAGGTCTTTCTATGGGCTACAGAAAATAATATGGTGTTTAACGAAGATAAGTTCCAGCTCATGCGCTACGGAAAAAATGAAAATATAAAAACGGAAACCACGTACAAAATTCAGGCAAATCATAACACAGAACGTAAAGGCAATGTAAAGGATCTGGGTGTACTCATGTCGGAAGACCTTACCTTTAAAGAACACAATAAAGTAGCCGTCACAACTGCAAGAAAAATGACAGGTTGGATAACAAGAACTTTTCACACTAGAGATGCTGTACTGATGATGATACTTTTCAAAATGTTTGTGCTCTCTAGAGTGGAGTACTGCTGCACAATTACAGCCCCTTTCAAAGCTGGAGAAATTGCTGACCTGGAGAGCGTGCAGAGATCTTTTACTGCTAGAACTCAGTAAAACATCTAAACTACTGGGACCAACTAAAGAGCCTAAATCTGTACTCCCTTGAGCGCAGGCGGGAGAGATACATAATAATCTATACGTGGAAAATAATTGAGGGGCTGGTCCCAAACCTGCACACAGAAATAACATCACATGAGACCAGAAGACATGGCAGGATGTGCAGAATACCCCCGTTGAAAAGCAGAGGTGCAACAGGTACTCTGAGAGAGAACTCTATCAACATCAGAGGCCCGAGAGTGTTCAACACACTTCCACTACACATAAGGGGCATAACTGGCCAACCCCTCACAGTGTTCAAGAGAGAACTTCACAAACACCTCCAAACGATACCTGATCAACCAGGCTGTGACTCATACGTCAGGCTGCGAGCAACCGTGTCCAACAGCCTGGTTGATCAGTCCAGCAACCAGGAGGCCTGGTCGACGACCGGGCCACGGGGACGCTAAGCCCCGGAAGCACCTCAAGGTAAGGTGGTAATCTCTCCCTATGGCAGTGGTAATCTCTCCCTATGGCAGTGGTAATCTCCCTATGGCAGTGGTAATCTCTCCCTATGACAGTGGTAATCTCCCTATGGCAGTGATAAGCTCTCCCAATGGCAGTGGTAATCTACCTATGGCAGTGGTAATCTACCTATGGCAGTGGTAATCTCTCCCTATGGCAGTGGTAATCTCTCCCTATGGCAGTAGTAATCTCTCCCCATGGCAGTGGTAATCTCTCCCCATGGCAGTGGTAATCTCTCCCTATGGCAGTGGTAATCTCTCCCTATGGTAGTGGTAACTTACTCTCCAAGGCAACCAGGTAAGATAGCTCAGAAACAACAGAAGCACATTATGCAAACCTTTCTGAAGATATCTCGAAGAGCTAAAAGTTTCCCACTTTCATCCCCACAGAACATAAGGTCTTGTTTCACATCCTCTGATGCAGTGTTTCTGAAAGAATATAATGCCATATCAAAACACACTACTTTATTCATTCTTTTGCTGTACAAGATCTACAGTATTTCAAATTATAAACAATTACCTGTATATTATAAATACAAACCATGCAAGACATACTTAAACTCATATACAAAATGAGTCTTAAGTACAGTACATAATCCAAAAAATGCTAAGGATATATGAATGTATTAAGATATTTTTTTTGCAAGATTTTTAAGACATATAAATCAATGGATCTAACAAAACATAGCAGACTATACACCAATACACAGTTAAGTTTTGATTATCTTAAAAGTAAAATCTGCTTCAGCGAGAGTAGTAATACTGTATTAACATTTTTGTTAACGTACCTGATGCCCACAGAGACCATAGCCACATTATTAAGGTTCAGCTTACACCAGTGTTGAACTTCATGGGCAAACGTGGCAGAAAACAAGGCACGTTTAATATTGGATCCAGTGCAGGCTTGATACACCACTGCCAACTGGTCTCTGAAGCCGTGAACTCCGGCTTCAAACAAACGATCACTCTCGTCCACAATGAGCCATTCCACACTTGAAAAAATAAATGGGATTAAGATGGAATTTGGCAACAACAAATTGAATAATTTATACAATTCATGAGATATTGATCAAATAACCTTATTAAACATTCTTAACAATGTACATATTAAAAAACAACTTTGTTAATCATCATAATTACTCCATTTTTCACTCTTATGGTGAGGCGATGGGAAATAATACTATACTTATAGAAAAAATTAGGTTAAATATACTCAAGTAAAACCCATCTATCCACATTATTTTCTATATGCAGTAGCATAACACAGATCCAGCCCCAAGGAATCCACAAAGTCATCCACAGCAGTTTCTTCCTGGCAAAAATTACCACGTTTGCTCTTTTAAGATGTCATAGGCAAAATATCAATCATTTACTTCCTTCCAGCAAACTGCTTCCACTTGGCTTTATATGCTACCACTTCGCACCTGCTGAATGCACTTTATCCATGCCAGCACTTCATCACACATACATAGTAAGGAGTGATTGTTATAAAAATTATATACAGTATGAACATGTCAGTTAATTTTAAGACTGAAGGGAATGTACTATGATAGTATAGTCATGAGTGGATAGAATAGTGAAAAAGATTGCCTTCAGGTGAAACCGAGAATGATGAGTGTACTACCTAAGTGTAGTTACAGGACGAGAGCTACGCTCATAGTGCCCCATTTTCCCAGCACTTTGTCATATAACACTTTCTTTGAAAAAGCTGACGGTTTTGGCCTCCTCCACTTTCTCACTTAGCTTGTTCCAGGACTGGTCTGTTTGCAAAACAAAACTAATATTTTTGGGGGGGCACCGTTGTTTCTTTAGCTTGAATTTATGACCTCTTGTCCTCTTTGCCAATTTGGTCGATTCCTGACTACCACTTACAAAATAATGACAGGTTGGCTGGTTGGCCAGAGCTAATATCTGGTGGTGCACTTTGATACTAGTGCACAGTTTATCGACATTAAGCAACCTACCATTTTCCTTGTTTCTGTCTTTTCATTCATGCAGGCTGAATACAACTTCCTTTGAAAATAAGATTTTGAGGCTGGGAGGCAGGAAATAAGCTAGATATAGTGAGATCAGATAAAGTAAGTACTGTAGTTTGTTGACCCAACCACACACACACACCAGAAGATGAAAAGACGACGACGTTTTGGTCCTTCCCGGACCATTAGTGGTGTTTGCAAATGTGAAGAGACGAGAAAGGCACAGGCATAAGTAATGTAGCATATGTACTGTAGTTTGGTTTGCTTCATCTGTGCTTTCTGGGTTGTTTTAGGTTCAACCTCATACTCTGTTACGAGGTTGAACTCTGATTCACTTTATAATTTCCCCTTTGAGATCCCACCAGACCAACTATTGATGACCTTCCCCAAGACGTAACCAACAACTGTCGACTAACCCCCAGATACCTATTTACCGTTAGGTGAACAGAACAGACATCAGGTGAAAGGAAACATGTCCAATCACACACACAAATCACAATTGCATGAGGCATCAAATGAACAAATCCACAAGGATTTGTTCCTGAGCTACGACCATGTCGTAGCTCAGTCGATTAAGGCAGCGTCTGGAATGCTCTCGGACGCAGGTTCGAATCCTCATCAAAGCCCTTGTGGATTTGATCATGTCTAATCGTCTGTGTCCCACCCGGGTATCAAAACCAGGGTCCTTGGATGTAAACCGAGGATATAGACTAATGTGCTAAATTATCCCTAGGCTTCCCTGGCCTCTAGGAGCACACCACACTCTGGTCCTGGTCTTCAGCAGGTCCGTACAAGTCCAGAAACCTCGTAGTTTTGTACACATTTCTCTGGGACCAGAGCCATTAAGCCCACTGCGAAAAGCATGTTTCATTATATTAAATGTTTGATTTTTTAATAACTGCAGCCCTCCAAATCAGAGTCTGGGACACTGAATGTTATCTTGGAAAATAAGATACCGACAGGCACTGACACCACTTTATATCTATATCCACTTTATAATACATTTTCTTAATGTAGTACTGTACATATTGAACCTTATGTGAATTCCACTTCTAACTGATACATAACATGTATGTAGACACAGTAGGATAATGTGATGTGTAGATAGAAAGGCTGCTGATTAAGAATCGCCTTGTTTCATGTTTTTTCTTCCGCAAGAGGAGCCAAGAGATTATTTCACTGTCGACAGTGATTAAGCAATACCCACTACTATGGACACTAAGTTGACACAAGTAAAATAAGATCTCTTACTTAGATAAATTGAGGGGTGGACCATTGTCTTCCTTCAAGAGGTACACTAGGCGATTCGGCGTTGTAACAAGCACATCTGAAAATAAACTGATTAATGATCCTGTTCTATCCATCGAGTCATACTTTTTTTGTAAGAGTAATAAAAATCCAGTATTGAATGTAATGGAATGCCAATTCGTGAAGGAGCCTCAGTGGCTCCATGAAGCCATCTTCTCAAGATTGATTCAGACTAAAAGGTCACATCAGCCGTGGCTAGTTCTGTTGGGTCTACTGGGGACCAGAGCCAGAACCTGCCCCCCCCCATCCCCCCTCCTTCACAGAGGAACAGTGAGCAGGTGATTATCTGCCACCTCACCAGAAAAGCCCCCAGAAAGTCAGCACAGTTTTACAAACAACTTGAGGGTTCACAGAAAATGAAGCCTCACAACACTGCCAAACAACTACCACAAACGAGTCACAAGAAACAAGAAATTCACTCAAGTGAGCTTGAAACTCGTTAGTACCAATTACCACCACCAGGCAACCCAGCTCTGGAGGCAGGAAGGGTCCAAATCTGCTGGTTCTGGGAGCAGTGGAAAGGGTAGAACCAGAGAAACAAGAACAATGCTTGAGGTCAAACCCTGCCCAGGGTGAAAAGAATAAAGGCAAAAATCAGGCTCCCACACAACTGTTCGACCAACTGGTGAGTAACCTAGGGTTGATCCAACACCAGACAGTGATGAAGCCGTAGTTGGTGCAAAGTCACTGGAGGCAGGGAGAGACAATGACTGAGAATCCCAAACAAGATCCATCTAAGACCGAACCTGGGACGGCAACAACTGGGACTTCCGCCAGTACATCAGAAATCCGACCCCAGTGAGCTGGGAAAGAACCAGCTCCTTGGCCAACTAACATGTGGACCAACTGGGTGCCCACCCCAGCTAGTCATTCCGGTAGAATCCCCTAACAAATGAAGCCAGGCCACAACACGTGCTAGCCCGGTAAACACACAGGAGGCCAGATTCAAGCCAAGGGGAAGAACCCTAAAACAGTGAGCATGATGCCCCACAACAATGCCTAACCATTCCCCGAATCCCAGATGAATAGCAATGTGACAGTACACATCGAGGTCCAGATACATCATTCAAGCCACTGACTGCACTAGCAGGTGACCCTGGGCCAAAGTGGTCATGCAGAAGGTTGGGCAGGAGATGAAGGTTTTCAGACCCCAAGAGATCGCAGATGTACCTGTGATCCTCCGAGTCCCATTTCAGGACTGGGAACAATCAGGAGACAAGGACAATCAGAACACCGATTGCTCGAACGAGACAAGGACAATCAGAACACAAACTGACAAGGTCAGTTTGCCACGCCCAACGCCAACCAATCCGCAAGAACCAGACACAGTGCTGGAGAAGACTCCTGACCCAATAGAATCGACCCCAAAAATGGGGAAGGGACCGATTAGCACTACCGAAAATCTTGGGAACAACAGGGAAAATCTTGAGGAACAACAGCAATCATTGGCCCAAGAGCTGATAAACCAGGACAGATATTCCAACCATGATGGTGTCAAAGGGGCAAACCACAAAAGGATCAGCACAAGCAGCAAGCAGAACTAGACTATCATGATGCATGATTGAAATGTTTAACGGAGGAGGAACCTTTCTCAGGAAGTGGGAACCAGACCCCTCACCCCCCCCCCCCCACAATCTATTGTAGAAAAATATAGAGGTACATTCCAACATAGAAAAAGGATGCTGCAGGAAGTATCAAACTAAATGTATGCAAACCATCAAAGGCACAGCGCCAGAGGACAGAAACCTTCAGAAAAAAAAACTAATCCGAGAAGCCTAATGGGACCCAGAAATGAACCCGAGGGGGAAGCAGCCGCATCCAACTCATATATAGCAAGAAAATAAGAAAAATTATTCGCCACCAACCAATTTGGGCTGAAAGGCATTCAAGGGTACACCTTTGGCTTCCCCTCAACCCTGGAAGCATGGTAATGAGGCCCCAGGGCAGAACCGAAGTCCTCACCCAACACCTGAGACAGGAACGTGTCCTCCCAAGGAGAAGGCTTAGGGCCAGAAGTGGTTGTGAAAGCAAGCACTCTGAAACTCCATCGGGATTGGAAGGCTCAACTACCTCCGCCGTTGACATGGAAATTACCACCCAAGGAAGTGGATGGTAATGGGCTACACCCCATGCTAAAGCCCAGGCCCGACTTCAAAACCCGCAGATGTTTTGGAGCTGGAACCAGGGAAAAGTGGAGTAAACACCGGAAATAGGGCAAACCATACCCACAAGGGAAGGAACAGGAGGTGTGGGTATAGTTTACCCTACAGAACACAAACCCAACCCAACACCAATCACCACCAACAGGCAGCAGGTGGTGGTGGTGGTTGGATCACCAACCCAACAGACAGCATGGTGGGAGCAGAATGATCATCATCAGGTAGCAAAGATAATAAACACTCCTCAAGCTCACAAAAAGCAAGACTAGAAGCACTACAAATAGTCAGCTGAGACCAGCATCAAGAGCAGAACTGAGAACAGAACTGACTTGGGGAGCCGGCTGGGAACCAGGACCAGGCCGCCTGTAGTTTGGCATTTTTTTGAGGATTCATTTTCTGCGAGACCTCCGTTATTTTTAAAGCTGCTTTCTGGAGGCTTTATCTGGTGAGGTGGTAGATCATCACCTGCTCTCTGGGCTTCTGTAAGGGAGCCAGGTTCTGGCTCTGGTTCCCGGTTTTGCAAACAACACTATGCACGGCTGATGACCACTAAACTGATGACAGTTTAGTGTTAGCACTCACAGGAAGACTCGGAGCCACAAGGGGATCCCTCCAGAAAAGCTATTGGTAACAGGAACACAATGACAGTCTTACAAAAAAAATAATGATCCGTGTAATAAGTTTACACATTTTAAACACGGTAGATACTGTACTAAAAAGGGCCTCAGGTCCTGCAGGACCCCGAGAGGATGGAAACCTCTAGAAGGATGATCCCAAGAAGCCCGAAGGTACATGGAACCGAACCCTGGGGGAGAAGGGAACCGCATCCAAATCATACTCGTACAGGAATGGAAGGTATGAGAACCTCTTCCCCTGCAAAAGGAAACCCTCAGAGAAAACCAGGAACCACATAGTCGAAAGGAACCTAAGGGCCCAAATCTCACTCCCCCAAGCACGGGAAGCTGCCTAAGAGGGCCCCAGCGCAGAGCCAGCGTCCTCGCCCACCACCTGGGATAGAAAAGCAGAGTCTAAAGGAGACGCTTTAATGAAAGGAGAACCTAGAAGACTCTACAGGACTAGCAGGCTCCCCTGCCTTCACTCCCGAATCGAAAGGGGGGGCAACCTTTGGAGCCGGCCGAGCCACACCTCGTGATAAATCCTGTCCTGACCAGGTTCTGGCACTGGTTCCTTGTATGCCAAACTGAACTGCATGGGTGATGTGACCTAATAGTTGGGAGCTATCTCAGTGAAATGGCTTCAGGGGCTCCCAAAAAAAGTAATTCTTGGAAATTACAGTGTTTACAAGAATAATTTGTAGGAAGTTGAGCATTCTGAACCATTTGTATCACAGCAAGCAGTTTCACTCTCTAGTGGATTGACCCATGCTCAATTTGAAAAAACTTGTCCCGCATGGGCTGCAAAAATTACACAGAAGCCGGACATATTTACAGTATCCCGGTGGTGTCAGTGTCAAGGCTAAGGTTAACTACCAAGGTGTTGTTCAGAAATATGTACTTATAGTACTTAGCAAGTAGCCAAGTACATACTTAGTGAACGTACTTATAATATGCTACTTGCTAAGTACTATAAGTGGACACAGACTCAACAACACTGTATACTGAGATCAATTTAAGTCATGGCATACCATGCAGAAACTATAATACTAACAGTGAGTTTGCCAGTTTCATCTGCACTTGTTAACTAGCCAAAGCCAGAAGAGTGCCTACATGCTATATCTTATTCTGTACGTACCAAATGTAATACAATTTTGTGCTGCTGAAGATAGAATATGATCCAAAATAAACATGAATGTAATTTAAGTGATACTTACCAAACTTTTGAGCAGATTGAGGCCCAAATTTCTCCACAGCTTTGCTGACATTGCTAATGATGAATGCACGTATACCAAGCCCTTCAGAAAGCCTCACACACTCCCTAGAAATAAAAAAAAAAAAAACAGCGTTGAATGTAATGAAACGCTATTTTCTGGGTGAGCTCTGGAGGCTCCCTGGAGCTATCAGGCTAATGTGTTATATATTAGCCCAGGGCATTAGTCTATGGAGTTCAGCCTACTGGGGACCACGAACCAGATCCTGGCCCCCCTCAGAGAGGTTGGAGTGAGCAATGGCCCTGGAAAACCCCTCAGTGGTTAGGGGTTTTCCTTATCAGGCATCGACTGAGATTAGGCACCTAGAAAGGTAGGCATCCACAAAACAAACCCCACATGGTAAGAAAATTACCATTAAAAAACAAAAAAGAGAGGCAGAACTCCCACCAATCCCAAGTAAACAAGCAAACACCACACTACACCTCCGTACCGCTCATCCATGCAGCCCACCCCTTCCCGAGAGGGAAAGGGGAAGCCCCGGACCTCCCAGCACCGGCTACCTAGCACTCCAATCTAGTCAAGCATTGGAGTTATCTAGTCAAGCATAAGACTAAACTGGAAAAGGTTCAAAGGTTTGCCAGCAGATTAGTACCCGAGCTGAGAGGTATGAGCTACGAGGAGAGACTACGGGAATTGAACCTCACTTCGTTGGAAGACAGAAGAGTTAGGGGGGACATGATCACTACATTCAAGATTCTCAAGGGAATCGACAGGGTTGATAAAGACAGGCTATTTAACACAAGGGGCACACGCACTAGGGGACACAGGTGGAAACTGAGTGCCCAAATGAGCCACAGAGATATTAGAAAGAACTTTTTTAGTGTCAGAGTGGTTGACAAATGGAATGCATTAGGAAGCAATGTGGTGGAGGCTGACTCCATACACAGTTTCAAGTGTAGATATGATAGAGCCCAATAGGCTCAGGAACCTGTACACCTGTTGATTGACAGTTGAGAGGCGGGACCAAAGAGCCAGAGCTCAACCCCCGCAAGCACAACTAGGTGAGTACAACTAGGTGAGTACTCCAGCTCAGAAGCTAAGCATCAAACAACGCAAAAAACTGCCAACCGGAGGGAGGGAGGGAGGGTTGTCATGGACCCTCCAGGGCTCACCCAGAAAATGGCATTTCACTACATTCAACACTTGTTTCCTGTGGGGAGCCCCTACGGCTCCCTGGAGCTACATACCCAAAAATAAGGAAAAGAGGGCCTTACCCGGGAGGCGGCCACAACATACTCCTCAATGTGAGGTCGAGACAACTGGCTGCAACCTGCTGCAACCTATGACCCAAAGCAACACAGGAACGCCCATGAGCAGGAACGTTAACCAAATAATAAGCGGCCAGGACCCTGTTTGACCTCTAAAATCCCCGCACCCAAATATCAACTCGAGACATGTTGCCAAACACGGCAGCCAATGCAGCAAACGTCAAACTTCAATGACAGCCAAACTGCCGCGAACTCCTGCACCGTGTTGTGAGCCCGACAGAAGGATGGACCCCACCACCCCTGGCCGGCCTGGTGAGCACTGGTCACAAAGCCCTAGCAGAGAGACGACACATCCATGAACACATCGAGCGAGAGCTTGGGCAGGCGCCAAGACACTGAACCCCGAAAACCCCGAAGAGGACGCCAACGATGCAGCAACCAACACAAGGCCCCCCGGAATACGAACCCAGCGATCGCAAGAGAAGCAGAAGGGGCATCCCAGAAGGAACCAGAACAGACGCCAAAGTCAAACCTAACCCAACAGGTAGCCAGCACGGAGAAGTTCAATCTCCTGCACAACTACTTGAGCAACCGCCGAGTGACCCAGTACATCCCCAGAAGGAGAAGTTCAATCTCCTGCACAACTACTTGAGCAACCGCCGAGTGACCCAGTACATCCCCAGAAACAGCCAAAGGCGGGACCGCAGCTGCAGCAATGCCTCCGGAGGGAGAGACATGGAAGCGGTCAAAGAGTCCCAAACAAGACCCAGCCAGGCTTTGTCCGAGCCTGGACAAAACTAAATGGGACTTCCTCCAGTTCACCAGGAACCCTGCAAGCTGGAAGAGAACCACACCCATGGCAAGCAGACAAGCAGACCGACTGGGACCCCACACCATCCAATCGTTGAGGTAGGCCAGGACCCGAACCCCTAGCAGATGCAGACGGGTCACCACGACCCGGGTAAGATTTGTGAATAAGCGAGGTGCCAAATTCAAGCCAAAAGGAAGGCAATGTAAGCAGTAAGCCACCATGAAACCTAGCCAGTACCTGAACCTCGGATGAATAGGGACGTGCCAATACGCATCCTTGAGGTCCAGGGACACCATCCAGACACCCAGCTCCAAAAGAAGCCGGACCTGAGACAGAGTGGTCATCTGAAAGGAGGGGCTAAGAATCCAGGGGTTCGGACAGAACAAGTTCAGAAGGAACTGTAGATCCACTCGGTTCCATTTCAGCACTGGGAACAGGCGAGAAACCCACCTAGGGGATGGGGTCGTTTCGACCACGCCCAAGCACACCCACTCCAAGATGACCTGACAAAGCGCAGGGGTTCAGGCCCCAAACCCCCCGAAGGAGGAGCCACCCAACGCCACCACAGACCAGATGACACGACCGAAAATGGCCACAAATTGTGGGACCAAGTGCGAGCAAACAGAGCGAGCCTTCCCCCATTGCCTTGTCAACGGGGCGAACTGCGAAAGGGCCGATACCCCTTACGAGAAGGGGGCGTCGGCCCCTGGCACTCAACACCACCATATCCTCCTCAGCCAGGCCGAAGACAGCTCAAGAATGGAAAAGAAGCGCAAGACCGAAGCCAAATGTCCACAGGTGTGCAAATCCTCGGCAACCAAGGACGTTGAAAGGGTAGGAACCTGCACGTGCAGCTGCACAAGGGCCAACATTCCAAGAAAGCACAGGGGCGAACAAGCATGCATTAAGGCACTCAAACTCGCTCCCAATGTAAACCTGCAGAACAGTAAAAGTTTCTCACCACTCAAGCGTATGGGTCCAACAGAACCCATGCCATGCCCCCAATGAAAAGAACAGGCAATCTGCCAGCCAGGAAGACTCCGTAACCTCCAAACGCACCCAATATAGGGAAGAAGAACCGAACTCAAACAAGGACAGATCCATCACGGAGGTGGAATCCGGGTCTCACAGAAGGCATGCATCAAGAGCCTCCTGAACCTCTGGAGGCGAGATTCGAGAGGCAGAAAACCTCCGGAATGACAGGGCCGAGGAACCCAAGGGAGCCCGGAACTGAACTTGGGGTAGGAACTGACCCCAAATCATACCCATACAAGGAAAGGGGGTGGGAGGAGGGTAAGAAAACCTCTCCCCCTGCAACAACAACAAACCCTGCAAAGAGGGCACCAACATCCAAGATGACAACAGACAACACTAGGGGAGTTATTTTAATCTTTTAGATGTAGATTGCATAGGTTAACCAGACAGTGGTCTGTTTTGATTCGCCTACCTTTCTGGGTCCTTCCCCGGTCGATGGCAATCATGACATACTGTACTTTAAATGTAGAGTGCTCGTAGGCCATCGCTCCCTGCACCTCTCCAAGGGGGCCAGGTTTTGGCTCGTGGTCCCCAGTAAGCATAAGGACTCCTGTGACTGATGACCACAAACTAAAATAGGATATATCAGTTCGGATAGCTTCTGAGAGCCGACAGGGCTCCCCACAGAAAATATGGTTTTGAGTGTAGATGAAAATGTTCCCTTTAGAGGAAGTCACTTGGTTGCTCCCTCACAAATTGTTCTGCTCTCCCAAGGACATGATCACACAACAGTGATGCCAGAACAATAACCGAGGCATTTAACAACATACTTGGGCAAATTTCGTACCCATTCGAAACGTGCACACAGTTGGTTGGGTACGAAATGGACTCTTGCGACCTCCAGTGAGAGGCAGCCATCATGGAAAAAATTATAAATGCCCTGGGACTGCTGGCTGGCTTAGTTCTCAGTGAGCAACCATGGGTGGCACACGTGCCTATGGCTCCCAAACACCTGTCAGACGTGGTGTTGAAAGATCGCTCTCTGTCGGTGAAATTTAGACCTTATTGTTTGAAGAACACAAGGGTCACGATATTGATGAAGCTAGGCACAATAAGGACCTAACACAAGGGCCAAATGCAAGTGATACAGCACCGATATCGACAGCACCATATCGATGATACAGTGAGCGTATCCAATAGTAGCTAAGCGCCACCCACGCTCACCTGTGTTATCTCCAATTTTTATAGATGATACATAGATGAATCGTTTTCTGGGTTCAGTGATGACGCATCTGATAAAAGTAGCATAGATGAACATTGTTAGCAGCTTCCATGGTGGTGTTTTCCATCGATCTGTTCAAGAATAGCTGAATCTCTTCCTGAATACCTGCATTTCTTCCAGAATACCTGAATCTTTTCCAGAATACCTGAATCTTTTCCAGAATACCTGAATCTTTTCCAGAATACCTGAATCTTTTCCAGAATACCTGAATCTTTTCCAGAATACCTGAATCTTTTCCAGAATACCCAAATCTCTTCCTGAATACCTTACAAAGTGATCTTTTCCTATAATCTTTTCAAAACTACCCTTACACTTCACAAGCTTGGCTACATACCACCTACAGGTACTAAAGCCAAGGGTGTACTTGAGTGTGTTACAGTGGTACCTCGGAATGCGAGTGTCCCTGTATGCGAGTTTTTCGGAAGACGAGCAGGATTTACTCCAAAAATATGTCTCGGGACGCGAGGGTTACCTCGGGACGCGAGTTTGTTGATACGTGTACAGGCCGACTGGCGCGTGGTGGCATGGCGATCGCGCCTCAGTTTACCAGTGTCTCGTGTCCAGTGACTATCCCACCTGAATTCTTCACAAGGATTTACAGTTTTTTATTGGTTTTTTGGCCATTTGAGCATAAAAGTTGTCATTATATATCTTGCCATGGGTCTCAAGAAAGCCATTGGTAAGGTTCAACCTAAGAAAATAGCTGTGAGTAGAGGCAGTAGAGGATGTCCCTTCTTGATTAAGAAAATGTGTGAAGTATGGGAAGAACTGCAAAGTTTTGTTGAAAAAACTCACCCAGATAAAGCTGTAGCAGGCCGTTGCATTGACCTTTTAAATGATAATGTGATGTCTTACTACAGACAAGTGTTAAAATGTAGGGAAAAACAAGTGTCATTAGACAAATTCTTAGTAAAACAAGCAAGTCCTAGTGGTATGCAGGCAAAATGTGCCAGAGTGTGCATACCAGTGAAGTCCTCACTGCCTGATGTGATAATGGAAGGGGACTCCCCTTCCAAACAGTAACTCCTCTCTTCCTCCCACCTCCTCACCATCTTCCATACGCCTACAGCAATCAACAGCAAGGTAAGTAATAACTTGAACATAGTTTTGTAGGTTTATTTAGATGAATTAGGTATAAAAATTTAGTTTGATGTGGGGTTTTTGGGGTAGTCAGGAACGGATTAATTCATTTCCCTTTATTTCTTATGGGGAAATTAGCTTCGGAATGCGAGTTTTCGGAATACGAGGCGTCTCCAGGAACCAATTAAACTCTTAAACTGAGGTATGCCTGTATTTGCATGCACACAGAACGAAGAAACGAGAAGCAAAAATCTGTCTGTACCTGGTGCATCGAGAACGAAGTCACGCTGTGTACCATGGACTGCTTCTTTGATTATCACTCACTTCCGAAGTACCGAGTGTGTAATACAATGTGTTACTGTGTAAATATAGTGTGTGAAACTTTACATACGTAATGTAATATTAGTGAATTTTGAACAAGTCATATTGCGACAATAAACATTTATTGTGGACACATTACTGACACATGTATCATAGTTCCATGGAACATTGTGAATGTTCTACTGTATAAATATTGTAAAGGACACATCAGATACGATACAAAAAAAAAAATTATAGAGCATTGAAAATACATAAATATTATTTGTAAACATATTTGTAGCAACTTGAGGCTTGAATGGCCAGCGCGATTGTGTCTGAGAGCTTCATGCACGGGCGACCAGCCTGTGATGACGTCACACACCACTTTGTCAATGTCCCCACAGCCAAAGTAAGTGGAATTAAAAAAAAAAAATTTCGTGTACATGTTCAAGGAAGAGAATTTATCATTTTGCAAAGATTTTGATTTTTTTTTTTTTTTGGCGAATACTTGATTTTCAGTGCACAGTGAGAATGTCACAATAAACGAAGCGCATCATAGTGGTTAATAGTTACTGGTAGCTAGAGTTGCAATCCACAAATACACACATTGGCTCCAATGGGATTTTTGTGATTTTTTCAATGGAGTTGAAGTCCACTACTGGAATTCATAGATTCCATTGTATCTGACTATGCAAAGAATCGGATTTTGTTGATGTATGTTTACAGTATTAAATACACACAATCATTTGTTTCTCGTATACACACATTAAGTACTTACCTATGCGTCTGCTTTGCAAGCTCACGAGTAGGAGAAAGCACAACAGCACGAAATCCTTTCCTCTGTGGACCACCCAGCTGATGTAGCAGGGGCACCAGAAAGGCTGCCGTTTTACCTGTTTAAAATTTTGTAGTTACTGTACTATATTTTGTAACATTTAGCTCATAGCTGGAGTGGGGAATTATGAGACAGGTTTCATGATGGCAATAAAGGATATAGACTGGGGCCCAAATGTTTAGATATGGCAACCTGGAAGCAATTCAGCTGTGTGGTAGAGATGGAAAACGTGGTTACCTTTCGATGATTTCGGGGCTCAACTTCCCCACGGCCCAGTCTCCGACCAGGCCTCCTTGGTAATAGGCCTCTCCTACCCCAGGCCTGGTCTCAGACCAGACCTCTTGGTAGTAAAGAATTAAAGATATCTTTGGTACCTTGTTCTGTTTGGGAACTACTCTTCCTAGAGGGCTTGGGTTCAGGTTGAAATTTCCACTGCTGGCATTTAAACATTCTATAAATATTTTGGAAAGAACACTGAAAATATCTACTAAAGAATCCTACACATTTTCTTTAGCTGAGGAACAAATATTTGTAAAGAGATTTAAGATTGCCTTAGGAAGTACAGTATATACAAGTGAGAAAATAAGATACAAAAATCAAGCAATAACCATTGAGCTGTGTCTGTTTATATAAGACAATATCCTGGTGCGCAAGAAACGAAAAAATTCCATGTTAAAATGCATTCGCTGATGGGAAAAATATAACAAATTTGTGACTTACATTAGCCATGGTGAAGCGAGGAAATATCATAATGGCATCATGATTCATTAGCATACATGGAAAGATTGCACCGTTTTACCATATTTTTTTCCAAGTCCAATGATGCATTGGGCTGTTAATAATGTTATTTATATCACAGAATGTGTGGAATATAGATACACACATATATCCATTTCACTAATGGGTGCACAATATTATTTTCTTTAAATAATAACACTTACTTCTTTTATATTACTGTATACAGACAGTGTAACCATAGTTATATATAATTATCACTACTTTTATGCATCATAATGAATCACTAAGCAGTTCTGGTGGCTGTTGAATCTCATAATCCAAGCATAGCAGAGCGCCACACACACACTAGACAGTTGCAAATGCCACCTAACAGCAAAATGTCTCCCAATATACTACACATACTGCTAATGCTAGCCACAACACTGCTCTTATTATCAGAATCCTGGTCACTAAATACTCAATATGAATAACGTTCCACAAATTTGTTTTGCAAAACATCACGAGGTCTCATTTCATGATGCATAGCTGCACCAAACTGCAGGTATGAGTGCTGCGGTAGACAGACTACCTCATGTTGTGAACGTAGTAACCAGCATTGAGTTCACTGATATCTGAACCTTGAACATCTGTTTACTGGTGGCCTGAGGAAACAGATGCAAGCCCTGTGTATCCAGGTGTGGTACTTTAACCTTTTTTAGACTCTGGGACCTTCCGGCCAACATATTGCAGCAGCCTTGTGGCTCTAGTTTCCTTGCCTTATGGCATATATCATGTGAAGCTTTCCGGCTATTTTCCTCATTCTGTGCCTTGCAGCGTTTGTGGGAAATTCTAGAAAACCTCAGATATATGCAGCATTTGATCATTCCTCAGGATGCCACCCACAACAGTCGACTAACACCCAGGTTCCTAATCACTGCTAGGGGAACAGAGGCAATGGGTGTAAGGAGACCTTCCCATACGTCTCGCCTTGCCTGGGATGGAAGCTGCAGTGGAAGGGTTAAATATAATGAAACACCTTCTGATGGACCAATCAGTAGCCCCTCAAAGATATACCATTTCAGCTGCCAAGCCTTAGAAAATTATTTTATTTATTTATTTATATACAAGAAGGTACATTGGGGTTAAGAGAGAACATAGAAATGAAGTTGATTTTGCATTATTGTAAAGTCACTAGCACACATAGCGTTTCATGCAATCATACCAGGTCTCTCCTTTGAGATCCACCTGAGCCTACCGGAAACCAGGACATGAATCTGGTTCTCCTCAAGAGGTGAGGGGGGGAGCTTCAGGATCAGAGATCAATCCAAAAACCCAAGAAATAATGTACCAGAAAGTACAAGCACATCAAAACAAACAACTACTTGAAAACAAATTATTAAACCTTCATGAAAACATGACACACATACAGTATTGCAGAATGAATGCCCAAGCTGTAATGCCTCCGACAGCCATCAGACAGCAACCCAAGTCACCCTGCCAGCAAGCCTTCCATAGGAAAGAAGGAAATAGAGCAGGTATGGGGCAGCTACCGAGTGGCCCACAAGAGAGGGCATTTTATTGCACTCGGTGCTCGATTTCCTAGACGACTTTCCCAACAGCTCCCCTATCTGATTGACAATAGTATATTTGAAGGGGAGGCTGGCTTTTCTGAAAGGCTAACAAAAGACTAATAAAACAAAAATACAGAAGGGGCCTAACCATGGGAGAAGATGATCCAGCACAGAACATCTGCACTACACCAAAAGTCCAAGTGACACAGGAGTGGTGAGGCTAAGGAACATGAAGCAAGTAGGAGGAAGCCAACACCTGGTTGGACAGCCCGGATGTTCACCATGGACTCAATGGCAAAGAAAGCTGACGTAGAAGCAAACTTCCCCACATCATGAGAACAGGTATAAAGCACTGGTTTTATAAACCAAACAACCACCTTCCTGATGACTTGGGAGAGTTGGACAATGGAACAAAGAACCCCAAACAGCCAAAATAACACTCAAGCCATGTGACTGGGAGCCCAAGCTAAACAGTCATTGAAGTACTAAATGTAGACCCCCATAGACATTCAACTTGCAGATGATCACTCCAAGAAACCAGGTCAACCTGGGCACCAAGACAACCCAAATAGTAAAATCTGATGGAGGGAGTGAGGAACCCCACATGAATCCCAGTTACTTCCCAAAACCAGGCTCAGTGTAACTGACAATCAGGGGTCTTCATATTCCACATGGAAGGGGGTATGAAGACAAAGATTTGGAATATAAGGATGAGGTGAAGAAATGGCATCCAGCCACTTGGACCATCAATGATCAAATGTAAACCCTGCAAGAATCAACATCATTACTCTACCAACTAGTGCAAGTGATTGAAGAACAGTTACAAGGACAACACCCAAGTGGACTCTTAAAGATAATCTAACATGGCTTGACAGCAAGCATACCGAGCCACAAAGCAGTCGGTAAATGCATCATAAACAACCTGGGCAGAGGATCTGAGGCACCAAGAAAATAGTAGGTGTAGCTTTGACACCTTCAATGCCAATGGTTTCCTGTGTGGAAAAATAGTGAAAGACCATGAGATGCCAATGAGACTAATGAATGTCAGAGACAAATGCTGTAGGCAAATGAGAAGACTGGACATGAAACTGCCACATCCTGACTTTATAAGATAGGGCAGGAGCAAACAACATCTACATACAGAGATCACACTAACGTGATCACACTAACGTCTGGGATGCTCCCGGACACAGGTTCGAATCCTCGTCACGGCCCTTGTGGATTTGTTCAAACAACATCTACTTCCTATACCCAACAAAGCATACCACCAAGACACTAAACGTGGAGGAAGGCGGAAACATTTACCATATAAATACCTGGAAATAACAGAACCGCCACTGTCACCAAAGAATAGCCAGTCCACAAGCCAGGAGTATGCTGGAACCTCAGACATTTAGCAAGAAAGCAGCAACATATCCACATGCAAAGAACCAGGCTCTTGATCAGATAAATAATTATGACCTTGCAACAGGTAAAGCAGCAAGTCTAAGCCAGCTTGACAAAAAGAGAAATGAGACTGCAAAAACTAACTTAAACATTTTGCAGTGAGAGTGGTTAGCCAGTGTGAAACAAAACCACTGAAAGGCTCCAGAAAATCCCGAGGAGGATGGAAGGAGCAGGTGGTGAAAAGCTCAAACCGCATAGGCAAATTCAGAAGATCAGAACCCAGAGATAAAGGCCCTCCAGCCTCGGAATTAAACCAAAAGACGGCAATATGTAACCAAGACTCTGCCTTAAAACACCACCAATGCCCTGGAATCTTTACCTTGTACTTTCCCTATATTTTCCCAGGTGACTAGGGTTGGAACCTAATTCTGCACCAAAGCCTGAAGACTGGGCACTAGGACAAGAATGAGTAACAACCACAGAGGGTAACTTTTCCACAAATTACTAAACCACTGAAGAACACAATTAAAATAAAGGTGGCACTGAATAGGCTGGAGTGGACTCGACTTCCCCGAGATACATCCTCTGATGGGGTACCCCCACAACCCAATTCATCTCCCAATAGCACCTGCTGGCTTTTGAAACTGCCATTTCGAAGCCCTGGGGCAATGGGGTAAGAAAAGATGGATGATAAATAGCTGTGCACAAGCCAAGCCTGCTAGGCACATTGAAAGCAGTGGTAAGAGGCTTGAATTTTGCAAATGTTGTAAACCCCAAAGCCTTAAAGTAACCCGGGACCTGCAGACAGCTCAAAAGGGCTACACAAACAAGCTCGGAAGACTTCAAGACACCCTGAAGCACACTTGCATTGTATGACTTGCTAAAACCCAGTGTCAAAGCACAACCCTAAACCAACACCAGAGGGCTGGCCTAGCAGTGAAGAAGCAGAGCAATCAAATCTAAATCAAACAATCAAGCACTTAGACATTTTCTATCATTATTAAAATTATACAATGTACTATAGTATATAAGCATCATCAACTAATTATAATCATTACAAGTGATCACTTATAATTATCATCTCTTAATAAATTTAAATTAATACACACACAATAAGTTTTCTTGTAATATCAATTCAATCTAAATTTTCACTAACCATAATGAATATCTAATTATAAATACAGTAAATATAATCATCATAATTAATTATATATAATTATTATCTTCAATAATATCCAATCAATATAAATAATTGTTACATATAGCGATTATTTTAGATCATTTCCTAAATAATATATAATAAACTAATATATAACACACTGCTATCATTATTTATAATACCTATCAAATGACTGAAAGGAATACATAATATGAAATTAATATACTTTCAAGCAAGGGGGGGGGATATTGCAGAGGGGAAGGCTAAACATTACCTGATCCAGTAGGCGCGCAGCCGAGCACCTCCCGGCCCTGCAGCATGAGAGGCCAAGCCTGCATCTGTATGGACGTCGGGCTGGCAAAACCTTGGCTTCTGAGGTTGCTCACCAGTGTCTCGTGTACACCATAGCGGTCCAAAAGCTGCACAATGCAAGACAAGACCCGTCTCATTATTTAATCCTCGTCACAATTGTTGAAAACATACTGTAGTACCATACAAAAACACCCTGATAAAAAGTGTGAAGAAAAGATGTATGTTATGACCTGTGTAAGTTAATAATTGAAGGAGGGTGTGGTTGTCTGCTCAAGGACATTGTTTCAGCTCACTTCTATATGAAAGTGAAACACGAGTATGTAATACTAAATTTGCCGTGAAGTTTTGAAGAGCAGAGAAGGGAATGAACATGTGAGAGAAGCATGTGCAATAAACAAGATTGTAGTCATTGAAGAATAAAGGACAGGGAAAGACTTCCATGTCGAAAGCTGAACCCCAAGCCAGCACCAGTGGTCATCACACTATCACATCACACACACACAGAGTCTTAAGGAGTAACCATCCTCACACTTACTCATGAAACAGTAGACAACACCATCCAAGTAGGACAAATTGTAAAGAAATAGTTGCAACTGAGTGACCTACTAAGTTGTTTTTTATCCATGTTCAAAGTACTATTCTTGAGCAAGGACACTCGGATGCTCTCTTAAGCCAAACTCCAATTGGAAGTAACAACTACCAACAAGAAGAGAAGTACAAAGCAAAGAAATTTACAGGGAACTTATCCAAACTACTAAGATAAGACGGACAAAGGCGACATCTGGGCATGCAGAACCCAATCTGGCTGGAATACCATTAAGAGAAAGGCACCAAAACATGCCAGCTAACCAATGAGGCAAGGAAGCAGGGAACTCGGTAAATGGCCAGAAATCTACATGCCTGACCCTAACTCACCTGGGACCAAAAGTCTGAATGAAAAATGTGCCGAAAGAACAAACTACACAAAACATGTGTAGAAAGATGAATTACCACAGAACCAGAATATGGGTTGAAATTGACAATGAGAAACTAAATAAAAACCACATCTTACAAGAAAAACCCAGTGCCACAAACAATGGCAAAACTCTGAAAGGTAGAGAACATACACTGTCTGTAGGAAAAAACCTGACAATGGCCAGCAAGAAGGAGAGGCCAGTGGTGGATGAAGTCAGAACCAGGTTGCAAGCAACAAGTGATATTAGTACTGATTGAGTGAAATTGAGAGAGGGAGAGTGCAGAAGAGCAGAAATGCCCACCAGGCCCGAGGTGAAACATGATGTCGCAAAGGAAACAGTTGTGGAAAAGGGACATCCGAGCATCCGCCATCCACACAAAGTGTATCCCTGAAAAATACTACACCCATTCAATGACAGAGCACTAGATAACACATACAAATCACTGGCAGAGAACTTAATAAAAAGATTCAGAAAAAGGTGAGGGGTTTTAATAAAGTGATTGAGAATAAAGGTGGCACCAAATAGGCTGGAGTGGACTCTGCTTCTCCGAGATACATCCTCTGACGGGGTAGCCCCACAACCCAATTCATCTCCCAATAGCACCTGCTGGCTTTTGAAACTGCCATTTCAAAGCCCTGGGGTTTTATTTCTTATTATTATTAACTCATTATCTTCATAATGAACCATAGAATATGAAGATAACCGCCGTACAGCTCTGGAGGAACAGCACATCAGATATAACATATGTAGAGAAGACTTTAAATTTCAAATTATAGAGTACATATTGTCCAATTAAATAGAAATGCAAAACTGAGTGGTCACCTTTTCAAATGAATCCATAGGTTCAGGTATATCAGCTCCCCACACATGAATTCCATGTTTCTTACGCAAATGGTTCACCTGAAAATTTACAAAATATATTAATGCTACGTAAACAGTATAGATATGTAATCAATGACAAAATCATATGTGATCAGAAACTATCCCTTTCTAAAAGTTTATAAGGTAGTATGTTAAGTAATTCAGATTTATACCCTCTTCCAAAACACATTAGTGTGAAGGAGAAGGTAAACCTGGATAACAGACTACATTAGCCCTTTACTGTCCACCTTACAAGTCTACATTCTGAAAATGTAGAATCACTGCACATATAAACACCAAATTTTATATGTAACTGGATAGGGGAAACAATTGACTTAAAACTGTACTATGCATTCTTCACATATACAAATTATGATTATTGTGCTATGTTCATCATAAAACTATCCTGTCTATTGAACTTACTTCTTTACCAAGTAAAGAAAACTAGTCTAATGCCAATACTATAAATATTAGGAAAAGACTTGTACTTTAGCTGCAGCATTCAACAATTGTTACAAAATGAATACAAATTTCTATATTGTTTTGATGTATTGAATTATTATATTTTAAAAGAGATTGGCAGTGGCACTAAGTGCAACCTGTCCTCATAGAAATGAATCAATTCTATGCATTTTCTGAATGAAATTAATTTTACATGACAACTAATGAAATAGAGCATTTCTCAAAGCAAATTATCACCAAATAAGCCTAACCCCAGGCCACACTTAAGGAGTAAAACACTTAAAACCAACTACAGGTAAACACTTGAAACATTTAGCTACGTAGAGCAAGAATATCAGGGAGACTAGCAATAATCAGACAACAAACATTATCAGGTTCTGTGCACAACTAGATCAGTACCAGAATCGAGAGACCTTATCTATGAGGACAGGTGGAGAAAACTTGCCCTCACAACCTTAAAGGAGAGAAGATACAGAGAGGATATGATAACTACATACAAGATTTTTTAGGGGAATAGACAAAGTGGACAAAGGAAGCCTATTTATATTAAATAGAGGTAGGGCAAGGGGACATCAGTGGAAGGTACACACACAATCGAGTCAAAGAGGTGCAAGGAAGTTCTCGTTTCTTGTTCAGGTGGTTGGCAAGTGGAATGCATGGAAGGAAGAGGTTATTGAAACTAATTCCATCCACAACTTTAACCAAAAATATGATTAAAATGTAAATATTGAGAGCTAATTAGAGCAGCAGATATAAATGGTTAGGAGGCAGGGCACAAAGAGCTAGATCTCACCCCTCCCATAGTCACTATAGATGCTGAGTAACCGAGTAACAAGATTGAGTAATCATCAATAAGAGAAATGTGAAAAACATTTTAATTTCCATAAAGACCATATTTGTTAATTTTCCTACCACTCATTCCAATAACACCATCAATAATTAAGATCAACAAATTGTTTTCCACATTTTGCATGACAATAAACAAAGAATTAAGCACAGTACAGTAATGAAATGTCTCTTTATGGTGAGCCACTCAGTAGTTTGCCAATACTATAACGTGAAAGAACTCGCCACAAATATGACTCGCGAGTTCCCGCCAGAGACCAGAACCACAATCTGGACCATTCAAAGAGGGAAGCCTGGGATTCAGAGACCACACAACCAGGCATAAAGACTCACTCTCCTCAAAATATGTAACTCAAACAAAAACAATAGGAACTACTGGGCGTCATTACTGCAGCAAATTCACTGCCAAGATACACTTGCCCGCCACCAGATGGCAGCCCAGACAACCCAGGGTCTCGGCCAGCCACCCAGCCCATTTATGAGCAGCGTCAGGAGACAACCTACCAACTGCCACAAGAAATGAGGGAACAGAGCTAGGATGGAGCTACCAAGTGCCCCTGAAGCCCGGGATGCTGCCCTGGTAAGATGACCTGGAAATCCCAGATACAAAACTACCTAGCAGAAAACAGCCAAGACTACACAGCTCACAGGGTGTCGGGACCTATACCTGCCCCTTTTCAAGTAACAAGACTACCAAGAAACCCAGAACTGGAGCTACAACCTGTGAACAAAACATGAGAACCAACTTTGGACCCCAATACTGAGGTAGGCACAAAGTCAGGTCCACCCCAAAATGGGAAGAGATACATGGACCCCGGATACATGCTGCTCTGGAAAACAGCATGCAGCAGTTTCAGGTCTGGAGGCAAGTCAAGCCCTGCCCCAAAATGGGTCCTGAGGAGGAAACTGGCCAACTAATTCTCAATGATCAAGTAGGTTAGCTGGGGCACAGGGAGCATCTTGGCAACACAGACATCAAAATGTGCAGCCAGCAAAGACAACTACAGTTTACCAGGAAAGATACAGCTGTATGTCAAGCAAACTGTCGACACCGAGGACAAGCAAGGTTAGTGGCAAGAAATACGCACAAATTAACTGTGGAACAACCAAAACAGTGGCCTCTGGACAGAATTGTTTCTCCAGGGAGAATTACCACCACTTAATTAAAGTCGAGAGGCAATGGGCCCAGTAGAGCCGAGTGTCCCTGGACTCTCACCAGGCTTGTGAAAAACTTTGCTGGTGGCAGGCATGCAAATCTAGGCGATGATTTTTCTATGGTAACAAGTTTTTGCATTTTTTCAACAGGGTTATAATTGTCTACAAACAGTTGCTTGTTTAGCAGTGTTTTTGCTTTCTGGTGGGTCTTTTTGCTTGCTTGTGTGGTGATTTCTGATTTTCAGGGTTTCTTTCACCTCTTGGAGTGAGCCAAAGTCTTGTTCTAATCCTGGGTAAGTGCTCATGGGTCATCGAGTACTGGCATGTTCCTCAAAGTTTGGATGTTTCCAGGTTGTAGCATCCCAGGGTCATCCCAGGGAGAGCTACTGAGAGAGCTCTCCCAAAGAAAAGTTAAAACATTTTACAAATAATTTTGTATGTACCTTCTGCAATGCCTGTAAGACCTTGAAGTTGTCTGAAGAAATGTTTTCTTACCTGTTCTTTATGTAATTCTAGCTGCTTTTGCTTGCTATCCTTCTTTTTCTTCTTTTTTCGATTGGGCGCAGCTCTCCCCAGTTGTACATCTCTCAGCATGTTGAGATCATTGTCACACTCACTGCCATCTGTTTAAAATTAGTGGTGCAAAATAATTTAAATATAAAAGAGAGAGAGAGCGCAATAAAACCGTTGACTGCCATTTATGCAATAAGCTATCCTTATTATTACCAAATTTTCCACTTCCATGGTGTTAGGAGGCAGCAGCCCAAAACAAAATCAAGCACATAATACTGTTTAACCACTGCACTGCGCAAAGCGCCTTTAGGCGCTCAGAGAGTTGTGCTTTTTGTTTTTTAATTTGGCTATATTTTAATGTTTTTTAATATTTTCATTACTATTTGTGTTTTGAAATGGAAATAGTTGACTTTGGAAACATTTTGGCATTAAATTTACCTGAACATTTGTAAAAATAACAAAAATATGTCCTTGACAATTGCACCAAGACGTTTTTGCCGAAAATAGGTGAGCAGTGCAAGGGTTAATGAAATTCCCTTTACTGGTTGGGCCCCTCGGTAGATTTCCAAACTAAGCACTGGTCCATCTATGCCTTATGGAGAAAAACCAGTCCTCCGAGATCCCCGTATACTGGGAGCCAAGACCAGAAGTGGTTTTTTCTCCATTTTCAATTACTCTTTGATCCCCTAAGCTCTTCTCGCCTCATGGAGGAATGTTGTATCTCTGCAGGCATGGGCTGAGCCAGTGTTTAACTCAAAAAGATACTAAAGGGGGCCCCTTCTAGAAATCCCGACATTGAATATGACAAGCTCCTTTCCAAGCAATATACTCCGATACTTCCTATAGTAAGGTCAGTGAAGGTCCAATTAGGCAGGATGATGATAGCACTGGTGCAACAGCCATCTTCTCAATATATCCCTATGAAGTAAGACTGGTGCTAGGGAGGAACAGAAGCAAAGCTCTGTCTAGCCCAATGACTACAGAAAGTTCATGCATAAAAAAAAAAAAGTTCAAAATGTTTTGAAGTCCTATTTGACTTAAAATGGCCACCAAGATGTGCTCTTGCAAACCACCAGAAACCAACCTGGCTATCACCTCCCTCCCCTTGATGGCCACCAGGTGGTATCACCCACACCAGCATCATGTCTCCTACCATAAGCTGCTTTACACGTCAAATTGCACTAATATGTTAATGTATTTAATAACTTGGAGCTTATATTTTTCTTAATTTAATGAGCTTGATTTAATGAATACTTTTGCTTAAAAAAAAAAATGTCTATCATGATTACTTGAATATTGTAATACACATTTAGTTAATCGAGAATTAACAGGTTTTAAACAAGGATAGGAATGATCAAATGCTGCTGAAAGACCAAAATTGTGTTGAAATACAAATCAGTGTTAATATATGCTATATAAAAAGACCGCTACAATATTGTAATCACATTAAGTATATGTGAAAAAGTATGTGCGAGTATGTCTGAAAAATCAGTTCTTGCTTTACCATCTTGTCCAGAGACATGTTCTTCAGTTGTCAATGGTTCTTCATATTCAGGTTCTGTGATATCAGTTTTGTTTAGGTCCTCACTTCCCTGCTCTTGAACTGGCTGCTGGACCTGTGAATATCAAATAATACTGATTAGATCTGACTATTTAGGCATGATACATCATGCAACATATGTTTCATGATTCTTTTGATCTCACATAAATTGTTTAAGAGTAGCATCCACCAAAAACAGTAATGCTGAGTCCATCTAATTACTGCAAGCTACCACAAGCTACACAAACTTCACAAAGCTTCCTGGCAATACGTTAGTAATGAATAAATATGATATGTTAGGTTAGGCTGGGCTGACCTGACCTGACCTGACCTGACCTGACCTAACCAAACCAAACCTAACCGACGCTTGGATCGTCGACTTGATTTGGCGTCACTAGCTCTTTATTTTCGTCTAATTTCTTTATAAAAAGATACTTTTTCAGATTAAAATTATGTTTTTTCGTGTTATACATTCAGCACCAACATTATGAGTAAATATATCATATTTATTCATTACTAACGTATTGCCAGGAAGTTGATTTACTAACATATTGCCAGGAAGCTTTGTGAAGCTTGTGTAGCTTGTGGTAGCTTGCGGTAATTAGACGGACCGATACTGCTCAAACATCATATTGGGTTAATTTAGTTACAGAGGCTAGAGTTCACACAAAATATATATAATGTATGCATCTGAACTTTTAGTAATATGGCCTTAAGTGCTCATTTCCACTTACCAGTCATACAGGCATTCCCCATATCACTTAGAACATAAATGGTATCCTATTGATGGGGGTCAGGAAGCCTATACTTAGGCTTATCAAGGCCCCCCCCCCCCACAGACCAAGTACTGACCTTCCCCAGGAAGCAACCCACAACAGCTGGCTAACACATGAGCATCATCTTACTGCCAAGTGAACAGAAACATCATGTGAAAGAAAACACGTCAAACCAATTCTATCCTACACTAGATTGTGGAGTGAGGTAGGGTTGGGGTGAGATAGAGCGGGGGTGAGGTTAGGTGAGATTAAATCTGGGTACAAGTGACAGGATGAACAACCCAGCGGGTTTTCTTCCTATTGGGGAGTGTTGTACATTCTGCTATGGCGGTATGTTAACTCACAAGATGAGTGGCGCTGCCCAATAAACTCGCCCCTCGGGGCAAAATTTAAATTTGAATTAAGTAACATGAAATAAGTTTTACAAATCCACTGGCCAATCATCTTTGGTACGCTCTGCGAGTCCTGATAAGTTACCTCCAACTTTCGAAAATCACTTTTAAACTTCTTGTGGTCAAATTTGATGCCTTTGGTAAGCTTTCTGAATATATCGTACGAATTCATTGTGGAGAGAAGAGAGGTTGTACTGTAGGGTGTGTGACTGGTCCACCCACGTGCCCTCCACCTCCACTACAACACAGCCACAACATCAACAAACAACGTCATCACTGACGTCACACACTCATCACGAACTCTACGTACTATTAGGTATTTATGTATTTAAATAATATTTATTGTAATATATTATTACATAAAATAAATTGACATATGTAAAATTATTACATTAAAAATATATTATATTTTTGTAAAATGATGAAAAAGATAATTTTAAATAGACTTTAGGTGTCTAGTAATTTGTTCGGGATCCTCAGAGGCAATAACTGTATTATCAATAACTCTGACTGTATTATTTTTTTTTTTTGAGATATATACAAGAGTTGTTACATTCATGTACAGCCACTAGTACGCGTAGCGTTTCGGGCAGGTCCCTGGAATACGATCCCCTGCCGCGAAGAATCGTTTTTTCATCCAAGTACACATTTTACTGTTGCGTTAAACAGAGGCTACAGTTAAGGAATTGCGCCCAGTAAATCCTCCCCGGCCAGGATACGAACCCATGACATAGCGCTCGCGGAACGCCAGGCGAGTGTCTTACCACTACACCACTATTAAATATCTAGCTAATGATAATAAGTTAGCCAAAGAATCTGCCTTTAAAGGAGCCGTTGAGTGTAACCTTGGATTGTCAATGAGCAATCTGAGAGCAGCAGTACACCGAGAACTTCAACAAGATCTTGTAGATCTGAGGCAAAGTGAAATTGACACCAGTAATTCCATCTATCATCATACTATCATGCAAGAGGAGCCACACATCTATGGTTCATCCAATAAAATCACCAGACTTCTAGATGTTACTACTGCTCGGCTTAGACTCGGTTACAAGTATCTCTGGGAATTCTCATTATCTGCTGATGTAGACCTGACCAAATGTAAACTATGTCAACAAAATTATTCGCACACCCTCCGTCACTATGTGATGGAGTGCGAAAAGATACGTGAATTTAGAGACAATTCTATAACCAATGTTCCAACGATGTGTCAATATTTCATTCAAAATGATCTGCTATCAGAAATTTTAGCCAAATATCCCCAGTTTGCTAACTGTAGGTAGTAACTAAGTGATTGTAACCTATCCACCGCTGCCCACTGGATGGGGGGCGGTGTGCAGGACAAACATATAAATTGTGACACTAGCTCTCCACATATGTCAGTTGCTTAATTTAACATAAGAACCAAGGCAACTGCAGAAAGCCTATTGGCCCATATGAGGCAGCTCCTATCTATAACCACCCAATCCCGCTCATATATACATGTCCAACCCGCGCTTGAAACAATCGAGGGACCCCACCTCCACCACGTTACGCGGTAATTGGTTCCACAAATCAACAACCCTGTTACCCAACCAGTATTTACCCAAGTCTTTCCTAAATCTAAATTTATTCAATTTATACCCATTTTTCGTGTTCTGTCTTGTGTTGATACTTTTAATACCCTATTAATATCCCCTTTGTTGTGTCCATTCATCCACTTGTAAACCTCTATAATGTCACCCCTAACTCTTCGCCTTTCCAGTGAAAGCAACTTAAGCTTTGTTAATCTTTCTTCATGTGAAAGATTTCTAATTTGGGGAATTAACTTAGTCATCCTACGCTGGACACGTTCAAGTGAATTAAGAACATAAGAACAAAGGCAATTGCAGAAGGCCTATTGGCCCATACGAGGCAGCTCGTATTTATAACCACCCAATCCCACTCATATACTTGTCCAACCCGCGCTTGAAACAATGGAGGGACCCCACCTCCACCACGTTACGCGGTAATTGGTTCCACAAATCAACAACCCTGTTACTGAACCAGTATTTACCCAAGTCTTTCCTAAATCTAAACTTATCCAATTTATACCCATTGTTTCGTGTTCTGTCTTGTGTTGACACTTTTAATACCCTATTAATATCCCCTTTGTTATGTCCATTCACCCACTTGTAAACCTCTATCATGTCACCCCTAACTCTTCGCCTTTCCAGTGAATGCAACTTAAGCTTTGTTAATCTTTCTTCATATGAAAGATTTATAATTTGGGGAATTAACTTAGTCATCCTACGCTTGACACGTTCAAGTGAATTTATATCCATTCTATAATATGGCGACCAAAACTGAACTGCATAATCTAAATGGGGCCTAACTAGAGCAAGATATAGCTTGAGAACCACACCAGGTGTCTTGTTACTAACGCTGCGATTAATAAATCCAAGTGTCCGATTTGCCTTATTACGAACATTTATGCATTGATCCTTTTGTTTTAAATTCTTACTAATCATAACTCCCAGATCCCTTTCGCAATCCGACTTCGCAATCTCAACACCATCTAGCTCGTATCTTGTAACTCTATCATCATTACCTAACCTCAGAACTTTACATTTATCAGCATTAAACTGCATCTGCCAATCCTTTGACCATTTCAAAACCCTATCTAGATCAACTTGAAGTGATAGTGAGTACTCCTTCGAATTAATTTCCCTACCGATTTTCGTATCATCGGCAAATTTGCAAATGTTGCTACTCAAACTTGAATCTAAATCATTTATATATATTATAAACAACAGAGGTCCCAGGACAGAGCCTTGAGGCACTCCACTTACAACATTTTCCCACTCTGACTTGATTCCATTTATACTAACTCTCTGTTTCCTTTGGTATAGCCTTGAATGATATTATGACGGGAAATGGAAACAAACCCATTATTTGTATTAGTGCAGGGGGTAATGATGTTGGACGAGTTAGGAGTGAGGAACTAATACAGAGATTCAGGACAGCCATTGAATTAGTTAGGAGCAAGAACATAACATAAGAACAAAGGTAACTGCAGAAGGCCTATTGGCCCATACGAGGCAGCTCCTATTCTATAACCACCCAATCCCACTCATATACTTGTCCAACCCGTGCTTGAAACAATCGAGGGACCCCACCTCCACAATGTTACGCGGCAATTGGTTCCACAAATCAACAACCCTGTTACTGAACCAGTATTTACCCAAGTCTTTCCTAAATCTAAACTTATCCAATTTATACCCATTGTTTCGTGTTCTGTCCTGTGTTGATACTTTTAATACCCTATTAATATCCCCCCCGAGCAAGGGAGGAATCCCGATCATATGTGGCATTCTTCCAAGAAAGGGAGTGGGAAATGAATGGATGTCGAGGGCAATTGGTGTCAATTGCCGGCTGGAAAGATATTGCAAATCAAATGCAATATCTTTCATAGACAACTGGGAACACTTCTATGGAAGAAATGAAATGTATGCTCGTGATGGGGTGCATCTATCGAGAGCTGGGGTTGTTGCTGTTGCGAACTCGTTGGAAGAAGTGGTTAGAGGTGTTTGTTTGGGTTTAAACGGTTAGTAGATAGAGGTATGGGAATTGATTTGGAGGAAGGAGGTAATAAAAGTATGTGTTTGTGGGAGAAAGGAATTGGCAAAACGATCAGGGAAAGAGAAGGTCCGCAAAATAACAATTCACTTAGGGTATATTACACTAACAGTAGAAGTCTAAGAAATAAAATTAACGAATTAAATGCTCTTGTCTGCACAGAAAAAATAGATATTATTGCACTTACCGAAACGTGGATGAATGTAGAAAATAGAGAACTATTAGCTGAATATCAAATATATGGATTTAAACTATTTCACACAGATAGATATATTAGACGAGGAGGGAGAGTAGCCATATATGTTAGGGACAATTTGAAATGTAGTCTCAAAGAGGGAATCAAAACAGAGCCACACACAGAAACTATTTGGATAGAATTAAACGAAAAAGCTAATAATATTATAATAGGAGTAATATATAGGCCACCAAATTTAGACAGAATGGAAGCAAAGCACCTATGGGATGAAATATCTAGAGCATCTAGATCTAGCAGTATTTATGTCATGGGTGACTTTAATTTTAGCGGAATAAACTGGTTGAACAAAACAGGGAATAGTGAAGCAGAAGATTTTCTAGAATTAATTGACGATTGCTTTCTTACGCAACACATTAAGGAACCAACACGGGAAAATAATATTTTAGATTTAGTGTTAACTAACAGGGAAACGCAAATTAATGACATCGAAATAGGGAGTGAGCTAGGGAACAGTGATCACAAAGAAATCAGATTTAGCATAGAATGGAATAGATCTGTAGGAGAAAATTCTGTTAAAGTGCCAGATTTTCGAAAAGCTGATTTTAATAGCCTAAGAATTTTTTTGGGTCAAATTGATTGGAAAGTCTTGGGTATGGGGTGTGGGCCGGTCTTGGAGCGAGACATGAACCCAGCGATAGGTGACTTAAATGGGGATTTCGATGTGGATTCAATATATAACTTATTTAAGAATATTCTAAACAAAGCACAGGAACGTAGTATACCATACAAATTGAATAGATCGAATACTAATGACCCAAAGTGGATAACAAAGAATTTGAAGAACCTTATAGGTAAAAAGAGAGCTTGGTACAAAAGGATTAAAAATGGGGAGGTCACTTTAGAACAGGAATTCGTACAACTGGTTAGAAATGTTAAAAAAGAGATAAGGAAAGCAAAAAGAAACTATGAAGTTCGCATAGCAGGGCAAGCAAAGACAAATCCTAAAGGGTTTTTTCAGTTATATCGTACTAAGACTAGGGAAAGGATAGGTCCATTAAAAACTGAGACAGGTCAAATAACAGATAGTGATGAAGAGATGAGTAGTATTTTTAATAAATATTTTGTATCTGTATTTACTAAAGAAGAACTTAACAATATGCCTTCAGCCGAACAAGTCTATGTGGGTGGGGACGAGGACAGGTTGACGAGTTTAGCAGTTACCAGGGAGGATGTTCTTAAACAAATAGTAAAACTCAAACCAAACAAATCCCCAGGGCCGGATGAAGTGTTTGCTAGGGTGCTTAAAGAATGCAAAGAGGAGCTTTGTGACCCACTGTCAACCATATTTAATAAATCAATAGAGTCAGGCAGAGTGCCAGAGTTTTGGAAAGTTGCTAATGTGATACCAGTTTTTAAGAAAGGAGATAGATCACTTGCGTCTAACTATCGACCAATTAGCCTAACGTCTATTGTGGGAAAGTTACT